GCGGAAGCCTCCTGCCGTCTGCCGTGATGCACAACATCACAGTGCACCTTTGGCGTTCTGCACCAGTCGTGCGCACAGACACACTTTTCGCACCTTTTAAATCCACTGTGGTGCTTTCCGGTGCATCGAACCACACAGGTGTCTGGTCCGCATTCCCAATTTGGGACAGGTCGTATTCATGCTCCCTCCTGAGAGCATTCACGAAGCGATGAAACTTAATGACGTGGTCTTCGTACTCGCGCGGCAGTTTTTGGCAAATCGTCGTTCGGCGCCGAATAGAAAGCTGGTTACGGTTCATAAACCGCGTAGCCCAGCCCCGACTTGCCTTGAATTGTGCCGGGGGTATTTCCATGTGGCGAGCGATGCTGAGGGCTTTGACGCGTATCATGTAAGTCGATACGGCGTAGCCGTCCCTTCGTGTGTCGACGACGTAGTTGACGAGCTCGCTTTCGAGTTGCGGGTACTTGCACTTTTTCCCGCGAAACGCCTTTCGGCTCCTGTTAGTAGCGGCGAGGGCATCTTTCTGATTCATCCAGTAACGCACGCGCTTCTCATCGACGTCGTACTTTCGTCCAGCTTCCCGCTTCCCGTGCTCCTCGGCATAGTCAATCACTTGCAGCTTAAATGCTGCAGTGAATGATCTCAGATGCCGGCCCATCGTCCGTCACGTGCGCTGGCTTCTGCAGGGTTCACTACAACCAACAAAGTGACACCGACGACACCGATCTGAAGTCGCGCTGCCAACGTATCGACACGATGCTAGGAACGATGCCAACAAAGAGGCCGCACAAGGCAAATATGGCGGCGCGCTGTCAACAGCGTGGTCGGCGCGTCGGCGGAAGTAGAATAAAAGCGGAAAAGCGTGCAGCGCCATCTGGCTGTAAATGAACTAACTACACTTTTCTGGCGGGACATTTTGAACTTTTGTTTTTTTTTTTTTCGAAATATCCGCTTTCAAAGTTGGGGTGCGGCCCTTACACGAGGGCGGCCCTTACACGAGTATATACGGTAACAGCACACGATTCAGGAGGCGGGACCGGTAATGAACTTTCAAGTTTTTGATCACGCCCTGGTCCATGGGCTGCAACACGCTTGTCGTGTTAGGCGGCAAAAACTCCACTGTCATAGCCTTCAAGTTGTCGATATGCCCATGGGCACCGCAGTTGTCGACGAACATCAGTACCTTGCGATTTTGCTGTTCGTACCGGCGGTCGAGCTTGCGAAGGTACTGTTCGAAGAGGTTTTGCGTAATCCACGCCTTCGAATTTGCTTCATACCTCACAGGGAGTGATTTGACGCGTTTAAAACATCTTGGATTTTTTTATTTCCCTATCACGAGGAGCGGAAGTTTCTCCGTCCCCGTCATGTTGCCTCCTACAACAACTGTCAGTCGCTCCTTGCTTCGCCAGACGGGCAGCATCTTATAGAAAAGTCAAGTCTCGTCACCATTAAAGACGTTTTCTGGTGGATACTGGCGCAGCAGTGCGCACAGCTTGTCGGCGCGGTAGTTGGTCACGAGGGTTTGGTCGACGGAACCACCCTCGCCGCACATTCGCTTGAAGGCCAGGTCGTACCTTTTCTTAAAGTTGCGCAACCACCCGTCACTGAACTTGCAGCCGGTAATACCCATGCGCAGGGCGAGCGTCTCTGCTTTCTGTCTCAGCAGATCGCCAGACACGGGTATTTTCCTAGCCACCGTGGCACTCAACCACATGTTCAGCGCTTCTTCAAGCTGCGGGTGGCTGCCGTTCCGGAAATTTTTCTGCGTACCCGCAGACGCTTTCTCAACTGCCTCCAGGATCTTAGCCTTCTGCTTGAGGTAGTCCGAGAGGGTTTGCTTGGAAATGGAAAATTCCCGAGCAACTTCAGACTGAGGTCGGCCGCCTTCTACCTGGCGAATTATCTCCGCTTTCTTCGCCATCGTGAGCGTCTTGTAGCTCCCACGTTGGCCGCGTTTCTTCACTCCCGACGGCGCAGCTACGGGTGGCGTCGGAGCCATTTCAGCACGCCACGGAACACACAAGAGAGCGAGAACACAGAGAACAAGACGAACCAGGCCTACCCGCAGAAGCAACTGACTGACACCACTGACACGCTGACACAACGCCAAACCACGCCAAACGCCACAGCGAACAGACTCCGTAAGTGGCTTGGCTTGGCCGCTCGACTGGCTAAAACCGAAAAAAACGTGTCGCCAAACATAGCCTTCGAGATCGGCAATGGCGATTTCTGCGTGCATTTTGACACTGGCCCGACGTCCATCCATAGCTAGTGCAGCATATCAGTGCTGGCAACCTAGCAAACGTATTGTTAACGTCCCTGTCAGCGTGTCATGGCGTACGGCGACGCATCCGGTCAGTCAAACGGAGTCCGAATAATCGAACGGCGCACAGCGGGGCGTCCGAATTTTCGGTCGTGAGTTTACATTAGGTTCAATGGGGCGAGTGGCGGTGCCACGAAGATGTCCGAATAAACGGGCATGTCCGAATTTTCGGAGTCCGAATAAACGGTCGGCGACTGTACTTCATATGGGGGCGATCTGCTGCCTCCAGCACAAAGACGCGTAGACTTCCGACCCCAGAGGAATCCGGGCATCGACCTCGGCGTGACACTCCGCAGTAGTGCACAATTTATAGCTCGAGAAGTTCTTGAGCTATAACTTTCATTTTTTCAATCCTACTCCAATACGCTGTTTTAAATATTTTGCATCTCTCATAACTTTTCATAATTTTTTACTCGGAAGATATAAGTATATCATTACGACGTTTGTTGTGAACAAACCTAATTATTTGTGTTTGTCAATTTTTGTTACCTGTTTAGATCTGCCAGTTCTTTTGTCAAATGTACCTTTCAAACCCTACATTTAGTACTTGCATTTTGGTATGTAATATTTTGCCGAAATTTTTTTTCTTGAAAAAAAAAAAAAAAATCTCGCGTAGGACCAACTCAGAACTTCACTATTTCGCTATGCGTCAGGCAATTTTTTTGTAACTCAAAAACAGCTTCGTCAATTTTAACAATTCTTCTAAATAATGTTGCCCTGGGATTACTAAACATTTTGTATATTTCAGAATTCCTCAGAAAAATTTTGTGTCGGCGATATCGCTTTGTTTTTTTTTTTAAATTCTTGGAAATTTTATAATTTTATTGTATACAAATTTTTTGCGCCAAATAAATTTTCTTTATTGTTTCAAAATGAAAAGCATTCAAAAGTACGTTCATTCGTCTTTATTTTGATGTATTGCATGGCACTGTAAACCTAGTAGCAACGGCACAGAAAATTTCTAGCTGCAACATACAAAAATAGCCCAATTTTCCCGTGGTAAGGAAAGAGCTAAACTCAGTACTCTTAATATTGATCCTAACATCTTCAGTTGGATAGAATGCTTTCTAACTAACCATACTCAATTTGTAACTGCTAATGATGCTGCATCCCAGGGCTGTCACGTAAAGTCAGGTGTTCCTCAAGGCTCCGTCTTAGGCCCATTGCTATTTTTAATTTATAATAATGACTTACCTACTGTATTAATAGCTCTATAAAACTTTTTGCGGATGATTGTGTTCTATATCGTGACATAACTAATCAGCATGATAACGTTATTATTCAGTCAGACCTAGATAACATATCTAAGTGGCGCTCACAATGGCTAATATTCCTAAATCCCATTAAATGCAAAATCATGTCTTTTTCGCGTCGCTCTGGCTCATCCACTTCTTTCGGCTATACTATCAATAACATCAATTTTGATTACGTAATCTCATATAAATATCTCAGAATTTAGCTAACCAATAATCTTTCTTGGCATGCGCCCATCGAATACATCACTAACAATTCCAACAGATCCCTCGGCTACCTACGCAGAAATTTTTCTAAAGCCTCCTCCCATTTAAAATTAATGCTGTACAAAACGCTAATTAGACCTAAGCTTGAGTATGCATTATCTGTGTGGAACCCCGGTCAAAAAACGTTATCAGCAATCATTGAGTCGGTTCAAAATCAGTCAGCATGTTTCATTAATTCAAACTATACTCGCACATCTAGCGTTTCACTAATGAAATCAAACCTTGGACTAATTGATTTGCAAATTCGAAGAAAAATTTCTCGTCTATGCCTTTTTCACAAAATCCTTTACCAAAATAATTCACTTAAACAGGAACTAATCTCACAACCTTTATACATATCGTCACGTCTTGATCATCAGAATAAAGTTTTTATTCCTTTCTGCCGCACTAACGTTTTTTCAGACTCCTTTCTGCCAAAGACCAGTGCCGAGTGGAACCACCTTCCCCCGTCCATCGCCTCCATTGAGGACGTGTCATCCTTCAAGACTGCACTAACTGATCATATCTTAAGCCTCTAATAACTGAATATTGTTTGAACATGTATTCTAATTAATTGGTTGTATTATTGTGTTCTGTTATTGCTGCATTTTTGTTATATTACCCACACCCTCTGTAATGCCTTTATGGGCCCTGAGGGTAATGTAAATAAATAAATAAATAAAGTAAATAAATAAATAAACTGCCAAGTACCTTAGCCACTAGACCATCATGGCAGGGCGGCGCCTCAAGATAGAAGTCATTGAACAGACAATGACACTGAAGCCCAGGTTTTGACAGGAGCACCAGTCATTGACAGGGCAGCTACTGCTTTTTCTAAGCAGCATTTTCATGTATATGTATATCACTCTCCTTCCACCCTCAATGATGGGGCAGAAAAAAAAAAAATGTACACTCTTCTCATTTTGCTGTCAACAACTCTTTCTGTTAGACACAAAAATGACTAGTTACATCACTAATGAGATAAATGAAGGCAACAGTACAACATTATCATTTGAAACTGTGGGCAGCAGCCTTGAGCTTCTGAAACGCCCTTAACACATGATTGCAATTTGCATCAACATGTGACGGTGATGGACTATACAAGCCATTATGAACAACACTGACATCAAGAGTCTGCAGCAAACAAAGGAACAAATAAAATAAAGGAGGGTTCTCACCACATGGGGATACTTGGCCACCTTGGCAATAATTTTGCCCCGTGTGAGGAAGTACCGGGATATCTGGTCAAAGAATGCTGCCGCCTCACCCTCCACCGCTCTAATTTCTGTCAAGGCGTCTTCCTGCGGCACAGAGAACCACAAGCGTCAGATAGCACACTAGAATGTCAAATGATAAAGCCAGACAAACTTCCTTCGTACCATTCTGCCAAAGGATTTCGTGCTCCATGCAATACCGACACAAAGGCACTAACTAGTGCACTAAAGCCTTGATATAATGAACAGGAATATAACAAAAAAATTGGTTATAACACATTTTTGGAAATATTGAACTATTCTGGCAGCAGGTGCAACTATTATAAGGAGGTTTCAGTGTAATAATGTCTGAAGTTTTGGGCGTCAAAACCATGCCGGTAGTGCGGGGCTCCGTAAATCTCGCTTACCTAAGGTTCTTTAACGTGCACATAAAATTATGTACATAGGTCTATAGCCTTTAAACTAAAGTGAAATGCGACCATCAAGGCAGGGATCGAACCAACGACTTTCGGGTCAGCAGGCGAGCACTGTAATCGCTGTACAAGCAGCCACAAGCATGTACTAAGACCATACTGCTGTCACATGCATTTCCACCATATTTCAAGATTACATTATAATGAGAGTAAAGAACTAACAAAAGAGAGAACAGGTGCAAATTCCTTGTGCGAAAGCTCTTGCCATCGAGAATATCCATTGCAGCAAAAAGTTGCTAAAAAGCCAAGATGCAAATAAGGCTGCATCAAGATCATTTTAAGCGCTGCCTACTTTCACAACCTGCAGTGTTAACCGCCAGGATATGCAGCAGAGTGTTAATAAACAACCCGGTAAACCAATACGAATATCCACTTGCAAAAGGGAGGTGGATACGTAATGTAAAATACGCCGATAATCTGCAATATAAGCACAATGGCTTGTTTAAACAGGGTGTCAGTTGGCTGACACAGTCAAATCTCTCTACAACGAAGTTGACCGGACGCGTGAAAAAATTCGCTGTTGTGGAATTTCATAGTAGTGAAATTTTATCTACGGTACACAAAATTGGGTAAGATCTGATTATGACTCGTCCTTTGGTCTCGGCGAGCGCATGCATTGAACTCTCTTTTACTCAGCCGAAACTGGTGTTACACTGAGTGAACGTACTTTCTCGTGCATAACGTGACCAAAGTATACAGAAAATTAGGAGCTGAAGTCGGGGTGTGGGTTATACGAGAATTTAGGCGTGCAAGGTGGCTTCACGGCAATGCAAAGAAGGTGGCCTTGCGTCAATACGCAGCTAGTTTCTTCCTCCAGCGGTTTGCGGTGAGGGCTGCCGGTTATATGCAGAGATGGGTAACACAGATAAAAATACGATATTCAGACAACCCTTGGGGCATGCCGAGGGCACAGCACCGCGAATGAGCGTGCCAAAGCTTTGCTAGAGGCGAACTGGTAACAGCAACTGAAAGTGATGAAGCTCCGCATTACTGTGGCCATATGTGAACAACAGGAAAACTAACACTTTCTGTTGTTTTATGGCTTTATTATCTTTAATCTACGACTGTGTTAGCCGTGCGCCTTCAGATCATATTCGCCATTGATGAACAAGACGTTAGCAACCACGATTTTCTGGGCAGCGAGTGCGGCAAACAGCAGTTCCTTTTTCAATCTGTATGTGCTGCGTTGGCCGTGCGCATGACTTGATAACTGAGTCGATGCTATCTTTGTTCGTCATCATTAAAGCAAGATATATTAAGTTGAGTCGGTGCGCATTGACTGTGCGCATGCTTTTGTGGTCACCCATGATCGCATCTGACACGACCGCATCTCTGTTCGCAGCAGTTGCGGCAGAATGCAGTCACGTTGTGACTCGGTGCGCGCTGCTAGTGTGGGCTCCTTTGCGATGCATGGTTGTCATTCACAATCACACACCTAGTGACGACGAACGGCACTTTTTTGTTTTGAGCGCGACGTCAAAAAATATGGCGGGGGTTCTTGATGATTGCGATTCTGCCACAGCCCGCACGTACATCGATTCCGCCAGCGAAATCACGATGGATGGGCGAGCTGTCCGCCAAGCATCTCAATGGCGATAAATTTAGCAGGATGTGCGCGAGGTGGCAGAAAGCTTGTGTCCAATGAAGACACGGTTGTTTTAATATGGCCGTGCGCTCCGGATATCAAGAGCCGTGGGGAAATGGCAGAGTTTCTTATTGCAGGGGTGGAAGAGAACTATTGTGTTTTGGAGCAGCTCAGGGAGGATGAATAATGCTGTTTTGAAGCAGCTTTGGTGCAGTAAAATGGGAGTAATGGAGCAGGTTCGGAGCATCAAAAGGTGTGTTTCGGAGCAATGCAAGTTAGTTTTGAAGCATCTTTCTAGGGTCAAACACCACTGTCAATCAAAACTATTTCTGGTAAAAAAATTCCAATGATTTTCCCTAAACATTTAGTACTAATGGGCTGACCAGACTTACTACCCACAAATGTGCATGTGTGTGTACGCATGTGTCTGTGCTCCCATCATTAAACATCACAGCTGACAGAAAAACAACTCGAAAGAAACAAGGGATAAGCGATGCTTATCGTTTTAATGACAACTATATGTCCACGGCGCACTTTGGTTGATGGAAGTTTGTTATTCCCACCCTAATTAAACAAGCTACCCTGCTCATCTCTGCCCGGTCTGGAGCGAAGTGGCGACGAGCAATTCACAGGGCAAATCCAGCGCGCACGCTACAGCGAGCCACCCGGCAGCGACGGCATGGGCAGCATAGGTGCCATGCTGCACGCAACTAACCAGGAAATGATCAAGTCCACGCAACTACTACGTGTTTCAATGAAACTGTCACTTGTGCTTAATATTAGATTGAGGTAGAGAAGCGCACATAGGTATCGCAGAAAGCCGATTCATTCAGCCGCTATCTCAGTGACTGCGTATTCCGGACTCTGTAATAGTTTTGAAATGCTGCTTCACCACTGCACGCTATCAAACGATTGTGCGCAAGTGTAAGCCCCGTATCTCTTTCACACTTTGGCGAAAAGAAAAGGAAATACTTTTTGACGGGTACTTTGGGCAGAATGATCAGGCCGGGTTCCCGGCGGGTACAAATTATCGAGGTTTTTTTGCACTACTACATAATTCACAGGTACTCATGTGGGTGCCACCACTTTTGCGCGAAAACCATGGCGATAACAGCGATAAGACAGGAACAAGCCCAATGACTGAAGCGAATTGCGTGATCATGATTGATTGATTGATTTGTGGGGTTTAACGTCCCAAAACCACCATATGATTATGAGAGACGCCGTAGTGGAGGGCTCCGGAAATTTCGACCACCTGGGGTTCTTTAACGTGCACCCAAATCTGAGCACACGGGCCTACAACATTTCCGCCTCCATCGGAAATGCAGCCGCCGCAGCCGGGAATCGAACCCGCGACCTGCGGGTCAGCAGCCGAGTACCTTAGCCACTAGACCACCGCGGCGGGGCAATTGCGTGATCATGATCGAACATGGATGCGCCAGAGTCCTTTGTGTGGCCAATGCTCAGTGTTGATTGGTCGAAGATAATATTCGGCTAAATTTGGCAGTTTACATTTCCAATCCACATTTATTGCAAAAATTTCCATTTATGCGCAGCCTGGCGCAATTGGCGCAGCACTTCCACTCCAGTTATCAGGTAGTACTCGCGAGAACTTCGCTAAAGCGGAAATATGCAGAAAAAATAGCCGTTGTGACGAGACATACTTCACATTGTTTTTTATGGGCAGCTGACGACGAATTGAAAATTATTCGATGTGGCAGAAATTTCGTTGTAGCGGGATTCGACCGCTTTTTTTGTTAGTTTTTTAAACAGTTGCTTCTAATAAGCTATGCCAATACAGGCTGCCAGATCTTGGCCTAATTGATGCAATATAATCACCCACCTTTTGTCCTGAATTAAAATAAGGTTTGTAATATCCACCAATAAAAAAAATCTTTTGCATCATTTTAGTAACTTTTTAAGCATGGCGATTTGTAAAAAAACAAAAAGAAAATACTACTACGCTATGTTTTTGATTGTAAGAAAGTCTGTACTTTCTCAGAAACAGACAAGGCACTGTTTGGGAGTGACATACCTGTATGGAGACGCCAAAGTTGTTTCCATCTTCGATTCTTGGTATGAGAAACTGTATCCACATTTTCAACTGAAGGAAAACAAAAAGAAAAGAACTTGAAGTAACCTTTGGATGTCAATAAAATAAGGAAAAAAAAACATAAAAGAAGGTCACAGGTTCAGATATGATAATGTTACTAACTGCAGAACATTTTGCATGGAGTAAAAAGCTCGTAAATTCACAAAATCGGACAAGGTATCTAGTCCTGGCAAGCATACTTATTCAATGGCATCTAGTACTGTAGATACATAAGTACACTAACCTGAGTTACAGCAATCCTATGGTAATCCCAATAAACTAGTTAGCTCCAATTGCAGTTGGCACATGTAATACCTGTGCCACACGGGCAGAGAAAATGGCTTTTACCCCTTAATGCCTTCAGATTTATTGCCATTCGCGCGTAGCCACACAGGTGAACGAAATGGCATTCGCCACCAAATGCCTTCGCCAGAACTCAGTTGACTAAGAAATGCCTACTCTCGACGACACAGCTCGCGAAGTGCGATTTACTTTAAAGTAAATAAAACAAATCATATTCAGCTAAAATTAAAATTTCCAGTCTTTTATTTGCACAAAACTCTTAAAAAGTGCTTTGAACGTTATACGAAGATCAGGTTGAAATGGTTTGAAATTAATTGAAGTTCTATGTCCTGAAACTGGCGCATAATAACTGGTCTCTGCTCCAGAATTATTCGCTCTTGAGCACGATGCTTTGCACGGAAACACACGAGTGCTGCCGTGAAAAAATGAACTCTGCGAACATCTTCTGAGAGATGCGACAGGTGCGATGCGACAGGCGCCATTTTCTATTTACACTGTGGACCTGAGTAGTGTTGGCTCAGGTTGCTACAGTCGGCTGCAACGTCGTAAAACAAAGCAAGAAACTGAAACATAGGGCAGCGTAATATGCTTATTTCTACGCGTAATGATTATCTGATGTGTATGAAGCTTGTAAACGCTTGTTTATTTTTTATTGCTATTCACCCAATGCTCACTTGGAAGGTGCTGTGATCGACATCATCAAGTCAAATGTCATTCACTTTGGACGTGTAGCAGCGCCGCCGAAAAAAAAATGTCATTCGGGAACTGAAGGCCTTCGCCACCGAATGTCACTTTCTATGCCCGTGTGGCACGGGTATTACATGTGAGAAGTCCCTAGTTTGGGTCTGTGAAGCAGGTCATGTGACGCTTAAATTAGAGAATAAAATAGAAATGTTCGGCTGGTTTTTATAAGCATACTAGCAAATACAATATTTTCTTGCAGTCCACGAGCATATCCAATCAAGCGTTACAAGAATGTTTGGCATAAGCAAACGCTAGCTTTGCAAATAATAGGCGACGTCACGTTGCAGTTGGTGTGAAAGCCAAGACAATTCACTGCTTGATAAAATAGTATCACAATGTTTGGTGTGTGCTTTGTTTTAACATGTTATTTCACGTGTCAGCCTCTCTTTTGTTGAGAAAGGCCAGTTTACTGGCTTTTGGGAAGATGTTTCGGCCTCCAATGGAGCCACGTTGCTTTCCACTACGGACGTGGGTGCCGCCATTTTGTTAGTATCCAACACTATTCTACCCCCCACATGTTTTATTCGTGGGTTGTGTAGACTGAAGCACAGACAGCCTAATGCAGCAAAAACAACAGTGATAACGGCACACAGTCGCAAGTCTTGTAAAATTCAAAATACACGAAAAAAAACCCGCAGAACCTCAAGTCGATTTTCGCGGGGTCACTTGACCACATTTCATTTTAGGAGAAGCTAGCACCTCATTGTTGCTATTTTTTTTTTTTTTTTTTTTCAAAGTATGTTGGCTTTGTTGCGACAGTAACGAAGGTGGCCTGGCTTGCCAGAGAACCCGAGTGAAGTATATTCTGCTGTTTTTTACAATAGAGGGAATCACTCCCTCCTCTTATTCTGAGAAAAGAACTAGTGAAACCACCAGGACAGTGAAGTGCTGTCAACCTTTGCGATTTGTTGGGTGAACAACAATGGAGCACTGCACCCCTTCAACAGTGCAGACAGCTCACAAGCTCTCAAAAGCAAGAAGAGGGAAGAAACAGAGAAGTCTTTTGTGACTGGCAGAAGCGAAAAATCCAGTGGCGAAATGGCAGCCAGTGTCTCTGTCGTACTTTGCAGTCGCAGTGATCTTTTTTTTTGTTGTTGTTGTGGCCATGTCTGTTCAGGGTTCGATGAAAAATCAGAGAGAAGAAAAATGAAACAGATTACTAATCTCGGTTTTGATCCTACATCACGATCGCTTCTAACGGCGGTTTGAGCAAGCGGTCGTCTTTTGCGATGGGCCAGTGAGGTCAGCACTGCGGTTGTCTGTTGTGGGCTCTCGTGGTTAGTCAAACGTTGGCGCTGCCGCCTTGTGTTTGCTATGCTGTTGAGTGTTGTGGAATATTGTGCAAGGATGCTTTAGCATGTTGATCACAACTGAAGTGTTTTGATTTGTCTGACAACATTACAGAAAAAGCTCGTTAATTCGACACCCATTAATTTGGAAATTCGGATAATTCGGACGGCTCTATTGGTCCCGGCCAAAGTGCATGTTAATCTATGGGACCAAACCTTCGTTATTTCGTCGGAATTCGGCTCCGCACCGCTTAATTCAGACAAATGCTGACGGCTGCTGCTACACAAAAGTGATAAAGCAGCGCTGGCCCCACTGGAGTGAAACCGAAACCCGAGTGGCATCGCCATCATCATCAACTATTGGGGGCGATCGCAGCGTCACCGCACGTCGGCGCCTTCTTTCTTCTCCACTCAGCGCCTCCGACGCCATTTTCCCTTGTGTTGTCGTGTCGGAACCATCTCTTCTTGCGGAGTTCTCTTTTTCTTCCATTGTGACCGTATTTGCATGCCACCACCATTGTGCGCAACAGTGATGGCAACGCCGAAAAAGCGGCAGAAATACGGCGCGAAAAACTTCGCGACTAAAGTGGAAATTTTGGAAGCACTGAAGAACGGCGAATCGCGACAGCAGGTTATGACCAAGTACAACGTGAAGCGGAGCACGTTGGGAACGTACGTGAAAAATGAACAGATTCGACAAGCCTTCGAAAGCGAGAAGTTTCATGCTTCTAGAAAGCGGTTGCGAACCGCAGCTCATCCCCAGCTCGAAGAAGCTTTGCTCCGGTGGATTACTGACTGTCGCAACGCGCATCTGCCTTTGAGCGGACCTCTCATCATGGCGCAAGGTGAGAAGTACGCTGCAATGATGAACATTGAATTGTTGATGAACATTGAAGCGTCAGAAGGGTGGTTTGCGAGGTTTCGAGAGAGACACGAACTTGTCTTCAGGAGTGTGTGCGGCGAAAAGGCCAGTGTTGACGAAAGCGTGACCACCGAGTGGAGAAATGTGAAGCTGCTGGAGCACATCGCCGCATATGAACCACGTGACGTGTTCAATGCAGATGAAACTGCTCTATTTTTCAGAGCTCTGCCCGACAAGACGGTGACTTTCAAAGGGGACGCGTGCATTGGTGGCAAGAAGTGCAAGCAAAGGATAACTGTGCTTCTTGTCGCCAATATGACTGGCAAGGAGCGTTTGCCACTACTTGTCATCGGGAAGGCGCTTAAGCCACATTGTTTTAAAAACGTCAAAAGCCTTCCTGTCGAGTACACAGCGAACAGGAAGGCGTGGATGACATCTGACATTTTTCGTGGCTGGCTGCAGCAGTTGGACCAGCACTTCACGTCGAAGGACCACAAGATAATTATGGTTGTTGACAACTGCAGTGCCCATAACTGTACAGTCGAACTGGAGAGCGTCAAAGTAGTTTTTTTGCCGCCCAACACTACGTCTGCTCTTCAGCCGATGGACCAGGGTATCATTCACTACGTGAAGTCGAAGTACCGCAAGCACCTGCTAGAGCGAATGATCCTATGCTCAGAAGCTGGAAAGTTGTATCAAGTGGACTTACTCGGCGCAGTGCACATCATCGCCCACGTGTGGAAAAAACACTCCGCCGCAAGTCATCGCCAACTGTTTTTAGCACAGCGGTTTTGTGAGGCCCGAGCATGCAGAAGTAGCTGACGATGGCATCGAGGAGGTGTCAGCCGAGTCCACCAACGATGACTGCCCGACTTTCGATGCTGTCCTTCCCACAGATGTGACCTTTCAGGACTGCATCGCGATTGATCATGGTGTCCCCACGAGTGGTCTACTGACCGATCAAGAGATTATTAATGATGTCACGGGCGTCCATGAAGACCACGATTCCGACGAAGAATCATGCGAGGAGATGCAGCCGCGACCTCATCGCACCTCCCGGGAAGTCTCGGAGGCGCTGTTAATATTAGAGGACGCTTGCCTGAACACTCCCGACAGCTTGCGTGCTGTTGGCCAATGTCAGCCGGAATCTGCGCAAAAACTCAGACGACAATTACAATATACTTCAACAAATAAAGGTATGCTTCTGCAGCTTGATTTTAAATGTTGTTTTCCCTGTTCATTCGTTAATTCGACATTCGGTTAATTCGGACAGTTTTTCCGGTCCCGTGAAATCTGAATTAACAAGCTTTTACTGTATCAATTTAAAAGTAGTTAAATGAATTTGTGTAGTTTGGTTTGTTTCGACTGGCGTCTGCCGTGTCCTTTTGCCCCAATAACGGCGCTCTCCATGGCGAGACCCCACAGACAAAGCTCACGGCCTTGACAAGGACGCGTTCATGAAGAGCTTGGTTTGGATTACGATTGCTGAGAACACCGGAAGTAGTCGGTGCAGTAGCAGTGCGTCGGCATGACTACGAGTGTCTCGCTTTTGCACTGCCAGCTGAATCTGTCCCCGCCGCTGACAGTGCGTCCGCTCGTGTAGTTTCTACTGGCGTTATAATTTTAACACTCGGGAAATGGGCAAAATGGGATGAATTCCCATGCGACCAGGGCAGCGGCTGCAGTGGCGCGTATTACATACAAGGGGCAGAACGAATGTGAATGTTTCCGATGGGCGTGGATTTGGTTTTCCGGCCACTACGGCGCTGTCGCTTGAATTCTCCAGGACAGATTTTTTCGTGACCGACTTCGCGGTGCGGTTTTCTAGCCGCTTAAACGGCGAAGCGAGTGGATTTCCAATGAGTTTGGCTGCTCTCGCTCTTTTTGACAACAGGTGTGAACGCACCTTTCAGCGCCAGCAGCCAGAGTGAGGAAACCGCAGCAGTTTACCAAGGCGGTGAAAGGAGGAAAGTTCAAGAGAACATCATGAACATTTTCAGCAATAGTTGACCCCAATAAAGTTTTTGTTCATCTTCATGATCAGCTTTAACTTGTTTTTGATTCATACAAATTCAGACTCAATTCAAACTAAAGCTTTGCATATTCCCTGTGAATTCGTATCGAGATCACTGAAGTGCAAAACACAATGGAAGCATATTTTGCTACTTTAAAGATACATTATTACCTCACCGATTCTAACCCCGTCATCTCCAAGTCCCACTCCTTGATTGATATGTGGGGTTGAACGTCCCAAAACCACCATATGATTATGAGAGACGCCGCAGTGGAGGGCTCCGGAAATTTCGACCACCTGGAGTTCTTTAACGTGCACCCAAATCTGAGCACGAGGGCCTACAGCATTTTTGCCTGAACCGAAAATGCAGCTGCCCCAGCCGGCATTCAATCGCGTGACCTTCAAAGTCCCACTCAATTCGAAGAATTTTGGTGGTCCAATGTAAATCTCAGTTAAAGCAGTGGTCAACACCAGCCCGCTTAATCCAAAACTTTTGTAGCCAGATTTCACCGCATATCCATGGAACCTAAGCCAACAAGGCAATGCAATGTAGCAATACTAATGAGTGGCAGCTAAAGCACTCAACTTTGCTGCTGTCAGCAAAGGTTTCGCTATTAGGTGAAATGAGTCAGCGAAAAATAAGACGTGCAGCGTCACGGCAACACAATGGTGACACAGGGCAGCCTGTCCCTATTCACTCATTCATTCTGGGTAAATAAATACCAAAGGATGGTCTGATAGAATTCGCAGTGTACGGAAACCTCCAACTGGCAGTTGCTCTGGCTGGTGGAGTTTCCCTTGCAACACCTACATCGAAAACTCCCTTCGAAAACATCCATGATACATGTTCTCCAGCCAGGACACATTGTCGATTCTGACACACTGGCCACTTTTTGGTAATTAAGCTCTTTAATTTACCAGAAAAAATGGCCAAAAGTCCAAATGCAGTTGTTGCCATGCCTTTATTCATGTTTGTGTTTTTGGAGAACTGCAGTGAATGTAGGAGGAGAGACAGGACTTTAAAGAATGGGATGAGTAGAGGTGAGGGGTATAGTAAAAGGCAGTCTTAATGAGCATGCCGCGAGCTGCCCGCATGATCACATGCTGCCCGCATGTTACCAATGTGCTGCAGTGAAGCACGCTTTCACACGCACTTCAGCAACCACCCCAGTGCTGGCTTGAAAACCGGGCACTAATACCTTGTTAACCTCCTGGCTTTCCACTTCATCTTTATCTCTTAGAGCTATTTAATCTTGGATTTTCCAAGTACCTAAAAACCCACGTATAGTCAAAGGTTTTTTTCTAGATCTTATGATGCCAAATTTCTGCACCGTACTATATACAAATCCTCAAAATGTTTATCCTGAATTCAGTTACGGTATTGCTCAGTGCCATTATCAACATCATTAGGCTTCTGCACTAAGTAGCAACAGTCGCCCTGCCAACCACTTAGTGACGGCAGCATTCGGCAGTTAGGCTATAACGAGCAATGCAGTCGCGGTTGTGAGAAACAGGAGCAAGCCGTCTCCGTGTGCAGCACCCTTAGAAGTTTCTGGGGGAGGGGGGGGGGCATTAAATTCTCAACATTGACCGGAGAATCGACAGACAGCACTACTGAAGCTCCCACCGATACTCATGCTCTATGCCTTTTGGCGTCGTCTCAACAAAGCAATATCTGCGTGACTCTCGCCTGGAGCTCGTCATCCCGTTAGGAGAGACATCCCAGCTGGAACCGCTTGATGTGTGCCTTAAAATATATTCAGAACCACATCAGGCACTGCGCCTACATCTCTAGTTTGACTGTTTTCCTGTGTTTGTGCGCAATACCATTATGAATGGCATGTTCCAACTCGCCCAAAAAGCAACGTTGTTGACCCCATCAAAGTCCAGACAGCCAAAAGTGGCCCCTGTCAGGTGGCTGAAATAGGCCCGGCCTGTGATTCTGTGTACAAAATCGTTCTTGCTTGGGCCTGCATTCTAGACGTAGTTCAACGTGCCTTCAAGAAGTGCTCGATTACAAACGCCCTTGATGTAGATGAGGTGTTGTGGCAGGGAGATCTCCGTCAAGAGAGTTTTGCAATGAAGTGCGTCAGAGTGCCACGAATAACGGCGTACATAAATGTATTCAGTTTCTGTTTAGTGAAAAACTTCCCTTGTTTCACAGTTGCTGCCCCTAAGTACACCACGGACTAAAAGCAGGTCCGAGCTATACGCAGGCTTTTACAGTAATGGGCACTGCCATATTGAAAACATATGCTAGCTAACTCTGAAGACATTAGCCGCTTTTTATTGATTCTCGCCCAAAAGACAACCAATGCCCTGTGCTGTGAGGGCCTACCCCGGATAATTTCTGACCACATGAATTTTGCAACTAATGTAAGGACTCCATAATATCTCACAATGTTGGTGTCATCTACAAGCTGCCATATCTTCGGCTTGACGATATCGACAATGCTGACGATGTGGTTGTTAGTGCCGACTGAGCCTGTTGGTAGGACCAGTACCTTGGTGCCTGTGAAAAAAAGAAAGGTATGCACAAGTGAGGAACAAAATACAACAATATGGAGAGACAAAGCACTTGGAACCTCTTTCACCTGTACCAAACAATAGCAATGCATCGTGTAAAAAGTGCTTACATGCTGCACTGGAATGCTATATATGAACAAAAATTTCCTGGCTCGCAGTTCATCACCATCATCAGCCTGACTAAGCCCACTGCACGACAAAGGCCTCTCCTATGCTCTGTCAGTCAACTCTGTTCAGTGCTTGCTACTGCCTCTTCATACCCGCAAGCTTCCCAATCTCATCTGCCCACCTAACTTTTCGTCTCCCTCCTCACCTGGCTTGCCTGCTTGGGAAGCCAATCAGTTACCCTTAATGACTAGCGGCTAGCCTACCTATGTGCTACATGCCCAGCCCACGCCCATTTCTTCTTCTTGATTTCAACTGTGATATCCTTAACCCCAGTTTGTTCCCTGACCCACTCTGCTCTCTTCTTGTTCAAAGGGGCCCTCCAACACTTTTCGAGCATGGTCGGAAAACGCTGCCGATCAGTAGTACAGACTCCCAACAACACGCGAACCAAGTATCGCGCAGCACGCAGCTTGGAATTCACAATAAATTATCAGATAAGTCTGCTAAAAGTACCTTTCTCTGCTCTCGACAAATCACAAAAAATAAGCCCAGTAAACCTATCAGCCATTGGCTGGTTTGAACATGGCGAACTCGGTTGTGTTAGAGGTCGCTGTAAAAGGCCGTCACTTGTCCGCACATGATCGCACTGAAAAAGCCGCGTATTCGAAGAAGAAAAAAAAAACCGCTCAAGGTCACAACGCGCGAGTGAAGTTTTTGTTTGCCTCTCCCTGCTCAGCTTCCAGTGCTTTTGTCCGGATGAGAGAAGAGAGAATGTGATTGCAGCGTGTGACAAATCTTTGTTACTCCGCTCGTACTGGACCGATTCTTAAAATTCTTGCGGCGTTCAATTTGTGAGGTAATACGCTTTTTCAGTGAATTTATTCCATGGTTACTCAAAAAAAGTGTTTCAGGGCCCCTTTAAGTTTACACCTATCATTTTCCTTTCATCGCTCGCTGCGTCGTCCTCAGTATTTTAAGCTGAATCCTCTTTGCAAGCCTTCAGGTTGCTGCTCTGCAAGTACCGGCAAGATGCAGCTGTTATATACTCTCCTCTTCAGGGATAGTGGCAATCTACCAATCATGATTTGAGAATGCTTGCCGAATGTGCTCTACTTCACTCTTATTCTTATAGTTATTTCAATCTCGTGGTTCAGCTCCACGGTTGCTACATGTTTTAAGTAGACGCACTCTTTTACAGCTTCAAGAGCACTGCTACCTATCTCGAAGCACTGTTTTTCTTTCAATGTTGTCGTACATTACTTTCATTTTCCGCAAATTACTTCCAAGACCTACCTTTCTGCTCTCCTTGTTCAATTCAGTAATCGTGAATTGCAATTCGTCCCCTAAATTACTCGGCAATGCAATGTCGTCAGCAAAGCGCAGGTTACTAAGGTACTCTCCATCAGCTTTATCACCGACTCTTCCCATTGGAGGCCTTTGAAAACCTTCTGTAAGCACGTGGTAAATAACATCGGGAAGATTGTGTCTCCTTGTACGCCCTTCTTTGATGGTATTCAGTCGCTTTCCTTATCGAGCACTATGGTGGCAGTTGATCCTCTGTACATTTCTTCCAGAATGTTCATGTTTCCTCAACGCCCCGATTCCGCATTGTCTACATGACTGCTGATACCTTTACTGAATCAAATGCCTTCTCATTTTCTATGAAGGCTATGTATAGTGGCTGGATGTAATCTTAGCATTTCTCTATCACCCAATTGATAGTATGAGTGTGGTTGATTGTTGAGTAGCCTGTAGGAAATCCTGCTTGGTCCATTGGTTGCAGTTCATGGTGAGTTAAAAAGTGATCTTTTATGAATACTAATGTTTATGGTAATAAAGCTTAATTGCATTTTCACAATGAATTCTAACTTCAGGGTGTCTAGCAAATTATTATTTTAAGATTCCCTGACTTTTCCAGGTTTTCCCTGACAATTTCAAGTGAAAATCCCTGACCTCTGCATAGGCGGCAATACATGTAAGATCATTAGTGCAGACGACAAAACATTGTTTTATTTAGAGCGCAAACATAAATAATTCACCATAAATTGTAGTCGCTGACTAGAGTATTATTGCACAAAGTCTATGCAAACACACATCGGCTGCTGCTGTTTGTGTCAGCCAGTGCACAAGAGTTCTTGAAGCACTCATCTGTTACTTCTTAAGAGCATCTATTTTTTCTTGCAGGAGACTAGCTTCCGTCAGCGAGTCACTAAGCAGCCTTCGCTTCTTTTCTTCCAGTTCTCATGACAAGAGCAGCCACTCTTTTCTTGATCTTCTGAAAACCCGACTCCACTCGTCTTTCTGCCTTCTTTTTTCTGCAGTTCCTCTCTGAAGACGCTGTAAAAATTCCGAACCATCTGCAGCATCTTGTCAGTAATTAGAACTTTTTCCCCGCCGCCTGCCGCCAACACGGTATCATGCACCAGTCGTTGTGCTATCAGCGAGTCTTCTTTTCAAGTTTTCGACGAGGCATTCTTTGTTGACCGAGAAGCCTCTTTCTACGGCAGCGTTGCCGTGAGACAAACAGAGGATGATCTTGATAAAAGACAGCAGCTCTTTGCGATCGTGTGAGCAGAGATCTGGCCACAGAACGTCCAGCCTCTGCTCTTTCCTGTCAAAATTTTTCAATTTTTTTTGGTTGAGGCTCGATGAACAGACCTCTATGTAAGAACGATGGGCCCGCTCTGCTTGCAGACCAGTCATCCACTGCTGCTCTGACAGCACTTCAAGTGCCAGGGTCAATCGTTTTGGGCCAGCCTCCGGAGACAATGCAAATGTGGGGTCCAAACGGCTGGCATCCCCCTTGTTAGCTTGTACTTCAATGGTGACCTCTCCACCACCTTCTGACAGCACGCTTTAACAAAGGAAACACAGTCTTTCTTGAATTGGTGCAAAGGAAGCTGTGGCATTTTGGGCACCTTGCGGAGCTCATTCTTCGCAGCGAACCCAATGACGAAGGTAGGTACGAGTATACAGTTCTCAAGCTTCTCTAAGTCAATCTTGAGCAACTTCGCGGGTGTGTCTGCAGCAACAAGCACTTCCTTCTTGACAATCCTTGCAAGCAGTGACCACAGTATATTGTGCAGTGCAGTTGAAAGAAAGGGCATCATTGGATTGTCAGTCTGAAATTCTGCCAAAAATGGCTCCAGTTCCTCACAAATTGACAGCATGAAGGCCAGTTTTACTGGCAACAGCTGATCCCTCACTGCGTTCGCAACAGCACTGTAGCTAGAGCATGTAGGCTGCTTCTTTGCCTTCACAGAACCCTACACAAACTTCACTAGGTTAGGATGAAGTTCTATCGCCCTGGTGATTACCTTCCCATTTTCGAGCCACCTGACAGCACAGAATTTGAGGGGAAAGAGTGCACTTTCCTGTAAAGGTGACGTAGTCAGCACGACGTGCAGGCACACATTTGAACAAGTTGTAGCTGCTGCGAAGAAAGCCTATCACATCCCAGCCAGTTGCAGCATGACCTGCCTTGTATGCTCCATTCATTACGTGCAGCCGGCAACTTTCAATATCTAGGATATTGCGACTCTCATCCAACTCCTTGAGTTCCTCCTTCAGTGACCTCAGGAACTTCAAGTTCACATTTGGCCCATCCATTGAAACTTGTAGTATCTTGGCTTGCTTGAGCTCTTCTGTGGCCTTCCTGAATGCAGATGCCAGGTCCTCCGCACACGTGTGCCCCGAGAAGCATGAAGTTAGGTACTGCGTTTTCACAGTGCCATCAGTAGTGTCATCCCAATATCGGACGAGCACATCCATCTGTAGCTTCTGGCTCACTTTGTTCAGCGACTCGTCAAATGAAACAACTAAGAACGGCACACCGGCAAGGCTTGATAGAAGATTCTTACGAAAGTAAGCCGCAATACCGTGGCAAATCGTATACCCTACCTTGTCCTTCCCTAGATGAAGTTTTTCAGTGACTTCACATCCCGGAAACATGAGAGGGAAGAGCGAGGCCGACGCCGCTGTTGACCGAAAGGATCCGCGAGTCGCTACCGCATTTAAGCACCACATTATTTCGGCCTTTGTCACAGCGCTCTTCAGAAGAAAGCCGCTCATCGATGTCTTCGCACTTGTGGTGGGGGCAGGCTCCTCGGGCGCGACTGTCCGGTCTTCGCTACATTTGGCCGAAGCGTTCGTCGCTGGCGTAAAAAAGGACAACATACCAGTTTGCAAGGCGCTCGACCGACACTTCAAACCAGCAAGATGCTTCTTGCTGGACGCGTGACTGGAAACTGCAGTTCCTCCCATGTTGCTTAAAGAAAACGTTTTGCAGCACAGTGTGCAATGAGCACTGTGAGGATCATTCTGCACGGGCTTAATCCAGCTTGCATATTCCGAAATGTTCAAGTTCGTCCAGTCCGAATTAAAGGAGCACTTTCTCGCCGTCGACATCGTCAGTGAGAAGGCTTCTCTTCAGAAAAAAAAAAAACGATAAACACACCGCCACGGGAAGGTTCCGTCGTTCAAAACATGGCGGACAGAAGAGGTGGTCCAAAACAACAAAAGTGTATACCCAGCATGCCCAGCGCGCACTGCTCAAGGTTGCCAGGCTATGGAGAAAAAAAGGCCAAACTTGTCAACCTTGGCACTACTGCCCCACTGGCTTGGATTGGATCTGTCCCCGTTGGCTGTTTGCGCCAATACGGTGAGCTGAGTGCGCGCTCCGTGCCGGGGAACAAGTCGCGAGTCATTTTCTCTGACTGGGTTCTCTTTTTGGCAACATTCCCTGACGATTCCCTGATTTTTCCCGGCGTGTATAATTTCCCTGACAATTCCCGATTTTCCCAGTTGCTAGACACCCTGGTAACTAGGCCAACAACTAACTTTGCATGGGTAATGACACAGTGTTTAACCTTAACAAAAATAATTAGTATCCGGGGTTTTATATCCCAAAACCACAATAAATTATAAGGGACAACAGTGGAGGGCTATTGATGCAAAGGCCTTAAATGTTTAACCAAACACCAACACCAGGGTGATGGGGGAGAAAAAAATAAAGCGTTCACATGTGACATCATCCCATGATGACCTCATCACATAAAATTCTTGCTTGGTCATAGATAGGGTGATTCCAGGGGCATACAATCTACAGAAACCTTGAAAGGTCTCCTGTCTTGAAGGCATTGCAAAATCACGCCAGGTGTAAAAAGCTTTCAAGGCAGGGACACCTATAGAATAGACTGAGAAAAAGACTGATTTCATCTTCAAGCCATCTTATGCGAAGGCACAAGGAACCACGCGAGTTTTTTCAGTGACGGTGGATGGACAGGTGCTATGGGCGTCTCCTTCACAACATCATAATGGCTTGTACGCCACCATGCTCAAGATTTCATCATTGTTATTACTGCACTTCAGCCTAATCTTGTCTAACCGAATCAAGGATCTCATTTAATAATGACCTTTATAATTCACCGCCCAACTTTCAAGCACCTTGTTGCAGATAAACCTTGGTTTTTCTTTTCCTTTCCGCGTGGTATTTTGATATGATCATTGTTATTACTGCACTTCAGCCTAATCTTGTCTAACTGAATCAAGGATCTCATTTAATAATAACCTTTATAATTCACCGCCCAACTTTCAAGCACCTTGTTGCAGATAAACCTTGGTTTTTCTTTTCCTTTCCGCGTGGTATTTTGATTATATGACTTTCAGGGGACCAAGGTTTACAGTTGTATGACCAGGGTGTCGTATAACTGAAGAAATAAGATTGTCGGATGTGACACTGAGCCTTGCCCAAAGAACGGGTACATACAGCCTGAATAAGCCTATGGCACGAGCTTGTGCTTCTGCAAGGAAGGTAAATTATTCTTGCTAATGGCAGCATTGCATAGGAGGTGCGTGTGAATCTTTATTCTCAACATTTAAAAATCAAGTCCAACAGGCATCTTTGTATTAATAAACGAAGTCTGAAAATTGCCTGCGCATGTAACAAAACCAAAACCACGTTGCAAACAGCCTCCCGTCAGAAGTCAAACACAGTGTGATTGCTATCACATACTGGCGACGAACTACGAGTACGCATAGAATGCTTTGGTGCGCAAGTGAGCTGTGCGCGCTGTAATTTGTTGGCTTGTGAAGTGCAACTAATGATGTCCCGTAGTTATCGTGATAGTTGATGCCAAGTGACAGTAATTTTGCACAGTGAAAACAGCTGTGTTGCGCCCTTATACGTGCCCAAGCTCGTGACTGCGAGTGAGACAAAGATAGGAGATAAGCTGTATGTTGACCAGGAAAAGTTTGCACGGACCGAAATCGTGAAAATATCAGCTGTTCGGCCGGCTGAAGCTGCTCTGTGTGAACATAGCTTGACTTTGACTAGGTAACAACCCTGAATACGTACGCGCACTATCGAAGCGTATGCAGAAGTGCATGAACATCCAGGAAAATAAATTTTCCATTTTAAGAAGACATCATGTCTTCCTGTCTGCTTTCATAATTGTCAACATAGAACACAATGTTCATATTTTGCACTTGTGAATATTTGGTCGACGTTTGATTTGAGCAAAGTTGTTTCTTTTCTTTCGAAGTGACCATATCAACCTCTTAGCCAAGGCAGGGGAAGCAGAGATTGCCGCACGGGACTAGACGAGCAACGAGGACTCGATCACCAAGGACTGGGAGGCGATTGCGACCAGAGGAGCTCGAGAACACTGTTTCGGGACAACAAATGTTTATTGCAGCATCATGGCTGACCTGTTGACCTTTACAACGCCGCTCCTTAATCTTCAAAATTCATGCAGGTTCACGCCCAAATATACATCTAGGTGGCTATCAACACGTCCAATTTTAACGTTATTGTCATTTCCGTAGCTTTCTCACGGAATGTATATTATTGTACTACGACTTAGTATTTGCCTTTAGTGTCCCTTCAACACTCTACTGTTTTATCTCTTACACTGCCAGTAGCGTACTAGGTGAGGAGTTTCCTAGATCTTCATCACCCCTGTGAGTCCACACACTCCCAACTGGAGCGCTTTTTCTGCCAATATGCTCTATTTTATCTCCCTTAGAAACTAATTTTCTAACCACTGGAGTTGCTAGAGACTTCGGCACCACCACACGTCTACCGTACCCCATACAGTGATTTATAGTTGGTACCTCATTATTGTTATAACACAGAGTTATTTTAGGTGTGGAGTAAAATGTAGGGTGATTAAAAAAAGACTTATAGGACAAAGTAGGGTAATTTTAACCGCGACATAGGGTATTGTCTGAAAATTTGTCGACAACACTGCTTTCGGAGACATTGAATTGAATATTTATTCTGCGATGAAAACATCCAGAATAGGTGTGCAAGGGCATTAATAATCAATTCATAATGATTAGAGGAACCCGCAGAATTATAGTAGCGCATGCATGAAGCTTAACGGCAGTACAGCTTTCAGCTGGCACACCAGCCCACAAGCTACACACGAAAGCACTTCCACAATGCAGCAACAAGAAGCTCCTAACCACTCACCTGTGATTTCATTCTCAAGGGTTTCAAGGCGTCTTTTTTTCGCTGCAGGCTGCAAGTAAACAACCACACAGCTATCAAGAGGAGATAATGACTAAGTACACATGTAGTGAGTATATTATGCTATTACTAGTCTGTAATAAAAGAGTAGCGATACATTTTACCTGAAATAAATATCTGCATCTAATCAAAAGCTTTATTTTTTTCCTCCCTCTTGCACTTCATATTGATGGTAAAATATTGATAAAATATCTATGGTTTTACATGCTGAAATCGAGATGTGATTACGAGGCATGCCGTAGTGGCTGGCTCTGGAAATGTCAACCATCTGGTGTGCTTCTTGCACAGACATCGCACAGTACACTGGTGTCTACGATTTTGCCTCCATGACAATGCTAATTCATATTGGTAGTAGTAGTGTGCGCCCAACTAATAAAGGGACCCCCCAAGGTCTAAACTCAAATGTGGTGGGGAAGTTGTGCATGAGTGTACCATGACCCCGAATAATGGAGAATTTTTCGAAACTGTGTCAGTAATAGCGGAGTTTGATGCGTTTTGATTCTCAAAACACGGTGATCACCCTTTCGCTGTTTCCTTCGATACCCTCCATTGGCATCCTCTTCCAAAGCTGCTTTTGTCCTCTAGCCGAGCGCCCCTCCCAATTTCGTGCGGCGTAAATGATCACAACGCGCTGCTCGAAACAGTCTACTTCCAGTTGCCGCAACTCTATCGGCTCTGTCAACTGCGTGCCTGTTGGCAAACCGCTGCTGCTGTGCCAGCCCGGTATGGACCCAGTGTTCAGGCAGCAGTAGCCGATTTGCAGATGCGCACACGCAGGCGGGTAACATGACAAACAACAAGCAGCACGAAGAGCTGCTAGTAGACCAACCGAAAGTAGTAGGATCTTGCTCGACCAATGACAGCATCAATGTGCTGCACTTTCAGAGAGGAGAACGGATTGTTTCTTGAAATTTGTGGCGTGCCAGTGACTCGTAGCGCTGTCAAGTGTAGAATCGTGCACAAACAAACAACTTAACTAGTTTTGTAAAGCCTGCCATATGTGAGAGGTCAATTTGCATGAGTGTTTGAAAGCAGGTTAAATACAAACTAACAGTTTTAGGTACTTTATGCACCATAGCAGAAGAAAGAAAGCGATTTTCAAAAATCTACGAGCCATGATACAATTCTACCTGAACACTCAATACTGCGACCCAGCACAACAAATATTGCACGATTAGACTCGGAACCAAACATTTTCTTTTCATTGATATGCAAAATAAGGAAGAAAAAAAAGCTCTAGTCAATGGCATTTGAGTGCCTAAACCGATGTGTCCTTGAGGGAGGCTCTGGACAGTGCACCAACATACACATGGTCCCCTGCACTTCTTGAGGGTATGCATGGAAACCCAGAAAATATAGATCACGTGCTCATGTTTTCCTTAAGACTCAATAACACTGTAGCTCAAGTAAAAGGCAGCTTTCCGCAGCAAGCGAATGTAAGGAAAAACACGAAGGCCTAGCACACACCATTACGAGCACTGCTGAAAAAAGTTCCACATTCTCTAATTCATGTTAGTTCCAGCTCAAGGAGAGAGAACACACAGCTGCTGCACAGTTTGTAACGAATAAAGGTTAGCCCGAGTGACTGATGACATATAGTGCTCCTGTTTCACGAACGTGTTCATTATGAGAGTGCCAGGCACAATCTATTTTCGAAGTGGTGTGTCCCTGGCAGGGAGCAACCCTTCCTAATGAGGGGTGGAAGTGAACTTGACATGTTTTGGAGCAGCTCAGGGAGCAGGAATAATGCTGTTTTGGAGCAGGTTCGGAGCACCAAAGGTGTATTTTGAAGCCGCTTTCTAGGGTTAAACATCATCGTCAAATAAAATTATTTCTAGTAAATATAATTCCAATTGTTATCACTGAACATTCTGTTTTATGAGCTTACCAGACTTATCACATATAAACGGTATGTGCGTACAAGAGATACAAAACATTCCCAATTCATACTCGGCGTGAAATGAAAACAAAAGAAAAATATTCTGGGTGGTAAAAGCATAAATATATACCTCGACGCGAATGTATACCGTATTTACTCGCATAATAGGCGCACCCCTAGTTTGGTCGCGGAAAATTCGATTTTTTTTAATTCCGCGCATAATAGGCGCACCCCGAACTTGGCCGTGATCAGAAACGATTCTACCCCCCAGCGGTACAGTTGGAACGCGGTCCCCGTACCCAGAGAAAAAAAGAAGGCAAATCGACGAGCAAATAAAAAAAATTCGAAGTGCAACGACCTAACCAACGTGTTTGTCGAAATAAAACTTGAAAAAAAAAAAAAAAGCGTCCATGAGCGGGGGAAAAAAAAAACGGCTGTTTCATCAATTACTGATACCCCCAAATCGCCGCGCTTTTTGGAGGTCACGTGTACAACGCCGGGGGCTCGATCGCCATCACCACCATACGTTATACGTTAGCTACCGCCTTACGTTTTTTTTAAACGTAAGACGCTCCCAAAGGCAAAATTCCCTCAAGGCATCTACGTCAGAGTCCAGGAAAAAGGCTGGATGAGCGCGGAACTCATGGTGGATTGGGTGAAACAGTCTGGGGTCGGCGGCCGGGTGGTCTGTTGTTGCCGTCCATGCTTGTCCTGGACAGTTTTCGTGGGCACCTAGTAGACCGCGTACGAGATGAGCTAAAGGTGCTGCGCACAGATCTGGCAGTGATTCCGGGCGGCCTCACATCGATACTGCAGCCTTTGGACGTGTCCTTGAATAAACCTTTCAAGGACAATGTTCGAAGGCTGTACACCACCTGGATGGCTGGAGGTCAACATCAGCTGACTACAGGTGGTAAGATTAAGAGGTCGCCTGTGGAAATGCTGTGCGCTTGGATCGTGGAAGCGTGGCAGGCGATCTCCGACGAAGTCGTCAGGAAAAGCTTCAAGAAGACGGGTATCTCGAATGCACTGGATGAGAGTGAGGATGACATGTTGTGGGGTGCGGATGATTCGGACACCGAAAACGAATCCCCGCTCGGCGAGGATGAATGTGTGATCTCCGACTCGGACTCCGAATAGGGAAAAGGAGGAACAGCTACGACTTTTGTGTAAATAAATTTTACGCGTGTGTGTGCAGTTGACGGCTCTCGCTTGTTCATTAAAGGGTACGTAGGTATGTTTGTTTTATGCTGAATTAATTGGTAAACGATAAAGTCGCCTTTTACTTGACAATTGTGCAGATTTAAAGCGCGAGAAACGAGTTCAAAAAAATTTTCGAAAATTTTACCCTGCGTAATTGGCGCACCCCTAACTTCAAGCCGGATTTTCTGAAAAAAAAGTGCGCCTATTATGCGAGTAAATACAGTATACTATAAGGAGTCTTGCTAGTCTCCGCAGTGTATCACCTGATGTGCGAAATGAAGTATAAATAATCGTGGTGCACTTTGCTTGCCAGAAGTTTGTTACCCCACCGCTATTTAAACACACTACTCTAATCATCTGTGCTTGGCCTGGAGCAAAGCAGGGAGAAGGATTTCTCACAGCAAGTCCACGCAAACGGTATAGAGAGCCACCTGGCAGCAACGGCGGGCAGCATAGGCACCAAGTTGCACGCAACTAACCATGAGATGATCCAAGTCCACGCAAATGCTGTGTGTTTCAATGCAACTGTCAGTTGTCACTTAGTATCAACACACAGTAGAGAAGCGCCCATATGTATCGCGTGAAGCCAATAGTGTCCTTTACATTGCTACGTATCCCGGACCCTGTAACAGTTTCAAAATGCTCTTTGGCGTCACCCCTGCGTGCTGTAAAATGATCGTGCGAGAGTGCTTGCCCAGTATCTTTTTGGCACCTTGGCAAAAAAGGAAGAAAATACTTTCTGGTGGGTACTTTGGGCCACATCTGCTGTGCACTGCATTTGCTTGTTGGCGGCAATGGGGCACGTCAGGATATGCACATTTGCACTTGTAAACAAGCACTGGCCATGAATGCACATAATTACAACGTGGTAGAACGCCACTGGATATAATGCGACAGTGTCCTTTGTGTAGCTAATGCTCGGTGTTGGCTCGGTCAACGATAATATTCAGCTAGTTTTGGCAGTTTACACTTCCATGGAACTTAGCAAATCGACAATAGTGGAATTTTCGTTTATGTGCAGCCTGGCACAGCAAGTAAGATTAGAGCAGCACTTCCAACCCTGCCTAATGCATTACTTTTGGAAGTAACCGTGTCACACTGGCCAATTCTGTAAGCAATAAAATGAATAACTTAGTACTCAATATGTAGACCTAACAACAGGTTGAATGAACTGGTCACTTTTATGAAGCACTCCCATTCGATATCAGAGTGCCTGGGAACAAGCATGCTGTATGAGCCCACATCACTGTTGCTAATTATTAAGGGGCAGATCCAGCCACTCATTTTAGGGGAGGGGCGGTCACCTGAAGTAACACCAGAGAGGGGGCGTGGTCATTACTTTTTATTGTCATAGCAATTATATTGACACAGTGTGATTTCAAGTTTTGCACGCTAAATGATACTTATGCCAATCGGATGGTTTTGCGACGCACGCGCCTGCGGGACCCAGCAGCGCACGACCCAGGGTAGGAAGAAGTGAGCACTCGGGACTGCTAGGAGATTTCGTTCTAGCTGCTTTATTATTTTCGGGCACAAGTTCACCCTACGTACGTTGGTTAATTAAGAGTGTTATTTTAAATGTGCGTTACAAATTTGGTGGAAGTGCTGGGTGTGATGCCAAGCCCCTCTCGAGTGACGGAACACAGTCCAGAGCCACTGCGACTTGAATCCAACGAGCCGACGCCTGTTCATCAGTGCCGCAGTCGACGCCTGTGTGGTGAGGGTCCTGAATTTTCACCTTTGTCGACTTACCTTCGAACCTCAGCGGCTGTGAACGGGTACGCAACCGACTTGACAGCTCAGGCCACTCCAGCCAACATTGTAGTGAAACAGCCAATGCTACCAAAGCCTTTCCACGGCGAAAGCTACGAGAACGCAGAGGACTGGCTTGAATACATTGAACACGTCGCAAAGGCTAACGGATACGGGGAAGAGCTGCAAACTTGGAAGTGTTTACTTTTGGCAGGAAGATAGCGCATGAACGTGGTATGAAAACCACGCAGCTGCCTTCAGGCCGTGGGATGACTTTCACAAGAGCTGCTCGCTCCTTTCCTGAACACAGACCACAAAGAGAGCCAAAGTTGCGCTACAGACAAGAAATCAGTGCAATAATGAAAGTGTGGCCATGTATGCGGAAGATATGTCTCGCCTATTCCGCCGAGCGGATCCAAATATGAGCAAAGACCGGCAGCTGCGTTACCTGATGCGAGGCATGAAGCAAAAACTCTTTGCCGGACCAATGGAAGCCCGCCCCACACCATCGCAGAGTTTTGTTCCGAGGCAACAACAATGAATAGGATGCTACAACAACGAGCAAGGATGTACAACCGGGATGCGATCATCATTTCTCTGGACGTATTGCCTCCAGTCATCAGCAACATCATGGAAGCACTACGCGAGCTAGTGTGGTCTGTTGTGCGAGAAGAGCTCCAGAAACAGCGCCTTGACCAGAACGCTCCGAAGATATCGTCTCTGGCCGACGTGATCCGTGAGGAGGTTGAACCTTAGAGTAATGCACAGCCAGAACTACCGCTACAACACCCGCCGAAAATTACCTATGCTGATGTGCTACTGCGAAGATCTCCAAGACGTGCGGACGTCACGGCGGCTACAGCTATGCAGTACCCGATGCCACCGAGCACCTTGCAGTCACTGGCGGAGAGGCGACTAAGAAAGAGCGATATCTGGCACACGCTCAACAGAATACCGTTTTGTTACCACTGTGGGGAGACTGGTCACCTCTACCGAACGTACCACCACCGCCAAGCAGGACTAAGTGGTTTTCGTGTCAATGCACTTCGACCACGAAATGGTTAGCGCCCCTTCGAAATTGAGGAATACCTGTCGGAGTCGTCAAAGCTCAAGTGGCTTCCAACGACACCAACCTCGAGCAACGACCACGGGGAGGTATAAGTCGCCAAACCCCCGAATTTCAACAAGCTCCCCAAGGTCTCGTTCCCTAAGCCCGCGTCGGGAAAACTAGAGTCAGTGACCTGTGAAGGCAAGGCTTGCCATGAAGATCCATCAGCTGGACATTTAGGAGCAAGCATTACGTTACCACGCCTCTGCACTAAATACTACTGGCCGAAGTTGCTCAACTCTGTACGACACTATGTCAGAACTTGCAGAGACGTAAAGCCCCACCGTTAAAACCAGCAAGTCTCCTTCAACCGGTAGAACCACCAGTGGCCATATTCACGCAAGTGGGAAAGGACTTACTGGGCCCACTTCTACGTCGTTATCGGAAAAACGGTGGATAATAGTTGCGATTGACTCTCTAACCCGTTATGCCGAGACAGTGACTTTTGTTAATCAGCCATTGAAGTAGCCGAATTCTTCGTCTCAACATTGTATTGCTGCATGGAGCTCCGAAAGTGTTGATCACTGACCGAGGAACTGCATTTACGGTCAACCTGACGAAGGCTATTATGAAATTGACGCACACCAGTCATAGGAAAACGATGGCATACCATCCTCAAGCGAACGGTCTTACTGAACGGCAGAACAGAACGCTTGCCGATGTGTTGTTAATGTATGTGAATAAATAGTACCCTATGCAACATTCGCTTATAACACCGCGATGCAAGAGACAACACGGATGATGCCATTCCAACTTGTTTTTGGCCGGATGATAACGACACTTTAGATGCAAATGTTACCTATTGACGAGACGTCCGAGAATGACTATCGTGTTCACGACCACATACAAAAAGCAGAAGAAGCCAGACAACTGTCACGAGATAGTATTTTTCAACAGCAGAAAACCGACAGGCACCAATACAATCTGCAACGAAGGGACGTCCAGTATGCACCAGGAGACGGAGTAAGGGCGGTGATTCCCATACCGATACGTGGCCTATCAGAAAAGCTGCTTCGCCGCTATTTCAGTCCGTACAGAGTGCTCCGCCCCGTCGGCTGGCTCAACCACGAAGTTATGCCTGGGGGACACATCACAGCGGCGGCATCGTACAGAAACTGTGCACGTCGTCAGGATTGATTGGTAAGTGGGGTTTACCGTCCCAAACCACCATATGATTATGAGAGACGCCGTAGTGGAGGGCTCCGGAAATTTAGACCATCTGAGGTTCTTTAACGTGCACCCAAATCTGAGCACACGGACCTACAGCATTTTCGCCTCCATCGAAAATGCAGCCGCCGCAGCCGGGATTCGATCCCGCCACCTGTGGGTCAGCAGCCAAGTACCTTAGCCACTAGACCACCACGGTGGGGCCACGCCGTCAAGATGAAACCATATTACGACAGGCGATGAAACACCGGAACACAACGCTGTTCGACCTTAACTGCATCCACGACAAGGTATTATAAATGACCGCCATGCAACCAGTTTGTCACAAGCATCGAGACGATGCACTCTAGAAAGGGGGACAATCGATGACAGTGTGATTTCAAGTTACGCGCTCTAGATGATGCTGGATCTTGCCGCCGGCGTCATCATCTCCGTATATGAATACTTATCTACATATATGTAAACACAAGAAAGAAAAATAATTCATAAAAAGAGTTCAGCGCGCGGAATTGAACTTGGGACATCTTATTCGCGAATGTGAGGCGATAACCACCGAGCCACGGAGAAGCACCTTCTTCAATGTTCAAATGGCGAGCTATCCCTTACCGCTGCTGATGGGCATCTCGGGGGGAACTATCGTGTTTTTAGCATTACCAGCCAGATGGTGAAATGAGCGGGCATGGAGTAAAAGTCACTGCACAGCTCGTCGCGATGCGTGCTCACCTCCCACGTGTGCTTTGCTCCGTGCAGGGAAAGGGTCTTATCTGAGCACTTATCCTGTGGTGGGAGAGAATCGCGCGCCTTCGACTTTGACCGGAACGATTGTGTTCAGTGGCCGGGCGCATGAAGATCACATCGCCCTGGGCAGGCCTCGTTTGCGGAAAGAGCGCATTTTTCAAACACAGAGGAGTAGCAACTGGGACACTTGTTCGTTCACACTCATATCCGTAGCTATGATTACGTTTCATGCGTCGTTCTTGTTTAAACAGCACATTAATGGTCGAGGTGTAAACATTTTTAGTTGGCTCTCGTCCTGTGTGTGTGTGTTATTTTCGTGCAACTTTTGTGCGTGAGCAGCACGCTGCATGTTTCGATCTGCTTGCCGTTCTCAACGTCACATTCCAAGTTGTTGCTATTGCATTCCTTGCTTTTAAACTGACTTTTTTGCATTTTTATTAGCGGAAAACCTTTTTCATAGCTACTGTTAATGTGTGCGCCCAGTGGTTTCACTCATTAGTCCTAATTGGTGATAGGAGGTGGTCTACAAGAACTGTGAAGGGTAGGGTTTCTGACAAAGATTGGGGGGTTGATACAGCAATAAACCCACCAACTTTAATCCTTGTCCATTCCCAAAGTCGGGACTGTCACACATGGAAGTCACGTGCATTAAACTAAAATATCACCTCCAAGAAACTAATGCAAGCTTCACTGGGCCCCATGATGCAGTATCATGAGCAGCTTTAAAAAAGTGAATATACAAAGGCAACAGTACAACTCTTGCTGTGCACACATTCTGGCACATTTTTCACCTTTTTATGGGTATCACCATTGACAAACACCATTCTTAAAGCCACAAAAGGCTGCCATAGACCCTTGCAACGTTTGGTGCACACAGAAGCTCTGCCTCAAAACAGAAACAAAAGTGTCAGACCAAACTAAGTTGAAGAGAGAAATAAAATACAACTGTTTCGGTGCCCTGACCTGTCTCTGGCAAGTCTTTTGTACTGGCTGCAATATCACAAGTCAAACTTGCAAAGCTGTGGTTGTTGATGATATGTGGGATTTAACGTCCCAAAACCACCATATGATTATGAGAGACGCCGTAGTGGAGGGCTCCGGAAATTTAGACCACCTGGGGTTCTTTAACGTGCACTCAAATCTGAGCACACGGGCCTACAACATTTCCGCCTCCATCGGAAATGCAGCCGCCGCAAAAGCTGTGGTTGTACATCATGCATCACGACTCTTACCAAATCAGCCTCGTGGTTGATGAATGGGGGTTCAGGCACTGGAATGTTGATATCCACATGTACAGCTGCAAGGTCTGTCTTCGAAAATTTATCTGTCTGCAACAAACATGACACAAAAACACCGTAGGAACTGATCTGGCCCTTAAAATGCGACAATGTACATACTTTTAGCAAGGTTTCCAGCTCCAGTATCTTTTCAGGAAATTTGTGCAAAACCAACTCCTCTGCCTGCGAAACCGAAAAAAAAAAATTAAAGAATGGATTCCAGAAGCTGGCACTGGGATTGAAAACCGTGCAGTGCCTCACGCCTCCACTTAAACATTACTTCACAAGCATGCAAGTACTGCGAAAATCACCTTCCCGTAACATGTAAACTTCGCGCGTGACACGCACTTAAATTTATTGTTAAAATATAAACCACATTTTGATGTAGTCATGCTAAAGCAGTGCTAAACCATTGATCGTGATCGTACCCCTTTTGCAAGAACAGTGTGGCTAGGGTTACGCCCAGACGTAACTGTAAGCACCGCAATCATTACGTCCAGACATAACTATAGCCAGCGCTATTGTTAAGTCCAGCCGTGACTATCGCAAACGATAGCGCTACGTCCAGACATAACTTCAGCCACTGCTTGTGTTACGTCCACGGTCCCACGGTGACGTTTGCATCTGCTACAGTAACGTTTGGCACTGCCACTCGCCGAATTAAGCAGTCGTAAGCTCGTATTCACCGATTTACCGGAATCACTTGTGTGTTGAAAGCTGCATCGTTTATTGTGCCAGACTTTCTCGCGTATCAGCAGCTCTGCTGAGACAGACCAGCTGACGAGCTTTTGGATGACGTTGCCGGTACTACTCCATCGTATCAGGTGCTGCCTTTTTGTTAGCTTCCTTGAAGCGGTCAACAAGGGGAGCAATCATGATGGAGCCCTGCTCACACCACGGTTAGTGGTAAACAGCGGCTCTCCAACTGGATGCAAGTACGGTTCGCGTGCTTGTTCTGAAGTATAAAACCTTCACTAGGTTACGCCCATATGGTAACGGTAGTTACAGCTGTCCCGCGTCGCGACATGTAAAGATCTCGTCATCCGAAAACCTCATCCGTCTAATTTTAATGGCGCAGCCCGCACCAAGATATTATCTATAAAGGTGTTCTGTGGAAGTACCTCTAAACGTTGGCCAGCGCAGCCTACTTGTAGCGCATTGCCACTTGTAGCAGCCTGTAGCCGCGATATTAGGCTACAGGTGACAGCAGCAATTTTGGAAGAATTTATCGTGGTTTTATATACATTATTGTGAATAAATGTTGGTTGATCACATGGTTTGCATTATTTAAGAACCTCTCATTTATTTTGCACCGATATTGAGCATTGACAGCCTGTTTTAGGCCTGTATTGACCACAGCGCGATCACGTCACATCAGACGGTGGATGGACACGTACACTTGAAATGTAGAATATAGATTCCGGTTGTTGTCGAGCGACAAAAAGACATTTAGGGGTGCAATGGTAAAAAGCTGAAAAAATCACCTCAGAACACAAAACGAATTGTCACTGAGGCCACAGAGTTTTCTGTGGGAAACTATGACTCATAGAGTTAATACACAGACTCTGCAGGAAAAGCTCCCAATAGCGCTCATGCTGCGATAATCTTGCGGTGCGCTTTCGTCGCTAACACTCACTATTTTGCTACTAGCAGAAATGTACGGCGCTGTAGCAACACGGTTTTGCGCGTCCGCCGCGGCCACAAAAGCTATTTTCTTTAGGAAAAAAATAAATAAATATATATAAGCGACACCCTTGGAACAACAATGCTGCACTGTTTAAAAAAATACTTGCGCAAAAAAATGAATGAAAAATTTTTAGTAAAGCTTGAACCAACGACCGCACTGTTCTGCACGTGCTGCGTTAGCTCACCACGCCACAGCTGCCGATTGGTTTGGTGGGTTTAACAAGGACGGTTTTGTATTGTCACGCTGGACATAACTCTACGTCTTATTTTTACGTAACTCCACGTCTTATTTTACTTTAACGGTTTATATCGTTACACCGGGGCGTAGCTTTTGCGAAAGGTGAACGTTACGACCAGCCGTAACGATGATTAGCTGCTAAGGTTACGTCCGTCGTGTGGTTCACATTATAATCATTTCGCAGTCTCGGAGGTTTGCTCGTGTTGGTTGAACATGGGACCTCCGCGCCGTAAATGCGAGGCGTTACCACGAAGCCACCGTGGGATACCTGTTTGCTCGTGTGCCACTGGGATAATCTCGCTTTGCGGTGCGCTTGCTACAGCAGAACTGTACGGCGCTGTAGCAACGCGGTCTTGCGCGTCCACCGCGGCGACGAAGGCCCTTTTCTTTAAGAAAAATATATATATATATAAGCGGCACCCTAGGAACATTAATGCTGCAATGTTTAGAAGAATACTTGCGCAAAAAAAGAATAAAATTAAAATATTTGGTTAGGCTTGAACTAACCACCTCACCATCCTGCACGAGCTGCGCTAGCCGACTACGCCACTGCTGCCCATCGGTTTCGGCGAGTTTAACCAGCCGGTTTTGTATTATTGTCACGCTGGACGTAGGTCTAACTTGCCTTATTTTCACGTCTGGACGTAACTTAAACGGCTTCTATCGTTACGTCTAGACGTAACGCTGACACTTCGATAGTTATAGCGCGAGAACAAAACGACGACACAGAGACAAGAAGGACACGAAAGACACGAGCGCTACTTCGTTGCAAGAAAGTGCACAACTCGCGCGCGATATTAAAATTACAAAGGTTACGTTATGTTGTCAAAAAGAAACAAAAGATAATCTAATGCATGCATATTTAAAGCAGCGACATTCACTCCGGGCACCTTGGAAATTTCCACGAGCCATGCATCAACACAAAATGAAACGAGTGGTTACTCACTTCTTTTTTAAGTCTTTCTTTGTACTCTTCTACCTAAAGGTAAAAAAAAAGTGATGTATAGCGGTTAGAGGTCAGTTCAAAAACTGCCAATGGTAGACCGAAAACTCTAACAGAAACGACATCAAAAACAACAGACATATCAGCAGTGCCCACAGAGGTTCTCGTGAGCGCGCACGTCACATCTTGGCGCCCGCGAAACTATCGCTCGCCTCGAAAACATCAACCCAGACATTGTGCTCGTGTCACAACTCGGACACGGTGGCCGCAGTTTGTGCTAACGCGGATCGCGGAAGAGTCGCCGTATTAAAGCGCGAAATACAAAACACCTCGAGGCGAGGTGGCTCACGCCAGGAAAGTGCCATCAGAGACGCCGCGGCGACGGCACAGCAAGGCGCACTGAGCAGCTCGCAACGTTTTTGACGTCGACGCTGGCGTCCTGCGAGTAATCCGGACAATCTTTGTGCCAACCAAAGTCATACACTGGTGTCCTAAACCGTCAAGAAGGTGTTCACAAAGCCACTAGGCTTAGTAATTCATTGGGCAACCCACGATATCCAAACAAAGCAACACTGCGCACGGTGACGAAGTGTGTCGGAAACGGGATAACATGCAGAGGAAACTTTACCTTTGGGTTTGTTTCTCTGGCCATTACAGAGCTTCGGCTTTTGACTTTAATGGAATGTGGGATAAATCGTGTTTTTCCAGCCTGAGACAGGCGCCTACACGCTGCATCGGCGCGCCGAACGGAAGTCGCTACGGCGCATGCCCATTGCGAAACGGAACTCTCCACGATCCGGCGAGGAGCGAGTGCGAGAAAAGACGTTTCATCGCGCACAAATAACAGCGGAAACAAGCGCCACTTGCCTTAATCCTTCCTGGCGTAGACGCTGAAAGCCTTTCGGCGGTGGCGAACAACGATTCCATCTTCTTGGTGGCCTTCTAGAGTTTCAACAAGGGCGGTGGAGTGGTGAGGTGCGGATACTTTTGCGCGTTTTGCGCAAACTAAAAAAAAAGAAAGAAATAAGTCGAAGGGAAAACGATGCGACTCGAGCCGCCTGGCGACGTTCTCTGAAATTTCGGCAGGCGTCAAAATTTTTATCGCAAAGAGGATGTCAGCCCATAGTAGTTAGCGTGCGCAGTCTTTAGGCCGCAATTATTTTGGAAGAACGGTTTATATGTTTGCCGCTGGTTGATTGGTACACTCACCCACACAAAAATACACGAACAACAAAACCCGCAGTTTTGTTGGTCTGAATCTCGTGTAATTCTGCGAATACATCAAAGATACCACGTGGACAGCGCGACGTCTTGGTAAACAGCTCGAAGACCAGAAAGGTTCTGTTTGAGATGTCATCGAAATAGAAAAAAAAAAAATCTTTAGAGGCATCTGGTGGCGCAAATGTGCGCCACCAGCCCGATTTCCATATCTCGGTTTGTATGCTGTTCAGAAATGCGTCGGCAACAGAGCATCAGCTCACCAGAAAAAATAAAAATAGCAATTGGTATACCTTCAGCTTGCAACTTCTTGCTCGAGTACATAATTGCACCACGTATTAAAGAATTAGCTGAATTCGCTAAGAAGGCAAGAAAGGCACGCCTGTCTACCACAGATATAGGGTTTTCTCAGAGCACAGGCCCTAAACCTGTGTATGTGAATGACCATCTCACACCAGAGCGAAAGCGCCTTTTTGCACAGGCACTTGCGCTTAAGAAAGCCAACCAGTGGAAGCATCTCTGGACTCACAATTGTACAATCAAAGCCAGAAAGGCGGATGACAGTCGCGTGTTTCGAATTGCATGCGCAGATCTCCGAGTATTCTCTTAGATATCCTATCGAGCCACATTTTAAACCGACCTTAGATCAACATGGCTGCGTTCTCGTGCCAGCAAACATCAGAATTGCTACTCGAGAAGTCACCATCCCTATCACTACTTCACTTAAACATTCGCAGTCTTAGAAAGCACCAGGATGACCTTGTTGCGTTGATTTCCTTGGTTAAACATTCATTCTCTGTCATATGCTTATCTGAAACTTGGTTGTCTGGTAATGAGGATAACTTGTAGGGATTGCCAGGTTATTATTCTGAATACTGTAATCGGGAGCTCTGTAGTGGTGGCGGTAGTGCCATACTTGTCAACTCATCCTTAACCTACACCCGCCGTAGTGACATAACATTTAACAATATTTTATGTGAATCTGTTTGGCTTGAATTCAACCATAGTGTTATACCATTGAATAGCCGTAGTTGTATTATAGCTTCCATTTATCGGTCACCTTCATCGTCGTATTCCGATTTTCATAATCAGTTAAGCATCATTCTTAATAACCTAGTGAGGGAAAATAAAAACGTTGTCTTATGTGGTGATTTTAATATAAACATTATTGATCCTGATAGTGCATCGTGCTTAGAATATATGAACTGTTTATACTGCTATGGCTTTACGTCACATATCGCACCACCAACTAGAAACGATTTACCAGGTTCGAATACCCTAATAGATCATATCATCTCCAACATTTCCACTGAACACGTTGCAGGTGTAATAGATCATAGCATTACAGACCATAATCCCGTATTTTTCATTCTGGGCTCCGAAATTACCAAGGCCAGAAACATCTTTACGAAACCCCGATTCGATGCGGACAAGTTTGTGCAAATAATTAGCACAGTAGACTGGACATCGGTGACTAATCTAGACTGCGCAGAAAAGGCTTTTGAGTCTTTCTCAAAAGTAATAGCTTCAGGTATAGATGCATGCACCACTTCCACTACTGTCACGAAGTGGTATCGTTCCCCTAGAAATTCATGGATAAGCAACTCGTTGTTGAAGGCCATTAATAAAAAGAATAACCTTTATAAGAAACTAAAGTCGCAGCCTTATAACCTCGCATTAAAATGCCGCTTTCACAAATACTCAGCAACATTATCTTCCTTACTTAGACGTGCTAAGCGCAATTACTACCGGAATCTCATTGTAAAAAACACAGGTAACACGAGACGCTGCTGGGAAATCATTAAAGAATTTTTGAACATGAAAAACTGCTCAGAGCCCACAATAAAAATAAAGCAAGGCGACGAAATGTATACCGACCCTGTAAGAGTGGCCGCCACGTTCAGTGAGCATTTCTGCGCATCTGCGGATACGCAGCAATCACCAGGTCATTTACGCAATATACCACAGTGTACTCATTCTTTTTATCTTCATTCCACGTCTGCAGATGAAGTCCTTCAGGTCATCACATCACTAAAGACCACAAGTGCTGGTTTAGATAATATTGATCCTTTTAAAGTAAAACTAGTTTCAAACTTACTATCACCATCTTTGGCAGTAATTATTAACAAGCTGTTTTCAGCGGGTGTGTTTCCGAGCTGCCTTAAGGCTGGTAAAATAGTTCCAGTTTTTAAGAAGGGCGATAAGACTTTTGTACAGAATTATAGGCCAATCTGTATCCTGCCTTTCTTCGGTAAGGTAATTGAAAAGTTATTCAACATTAGATTATTGCGTTATCTGAAAAAATTTAATCTTTTATCTCCACAACAATTCAGATTCCGTCAAGGATATTCAACTGAGCTGCCACTAATTACCTTAACAGAGGAAATTAAACAAGCTATTGATAGAGGGTTAATTGTGGGATCTGTGTTTATCGATTTGACGAAGGCTTTTGACACTATAAATCATCACGTTCTACTTGCTAAACTCGAATCATTTGGTATGTCTGGTCCGCCACTAAGTTTTATTAAGAGCTACCTCAGTAACCGGTCTCAAATGGTTCATGTTAATGGCCATCTTTCAATGCCCAAGTTAATTAATGTTGGTGTTCCTGAGGGATCAAATTTAGGCCCACTTTTATTTTTGATGTTTATTAATGATCTACCTACCATTCTTACAAGGACCAAGTGCATACTTTACGCTGACGACACAACCATCTTTCAGTCATCTAAATCAGTTTCTTCACTCCAGTCTGACCTCAACACAGATTTACATAACATAACTTTATGGTGCCAGGCCAATTATCTTCAGATCAATGCTACTAAAACCGTGTTTATGTTGTTCCATTCGCCGTGCATTTCACTTGACATACAACCTTCCCTTCACATTGGTAATACCGTCATAAACATTTCCAGTGAAGCGTGGTTTCTTGGCATCATCTTAGATAGCGAACTAAAATTTCATAAACATGCAGCATCACTCGTTAAAAATATTGCATTTGGTATTCACGTTATCATCAAGACACGAACCTATTTTCCACCTCACATCATACGTACTTTGTATTTTGCTTATATGTATTCATAGCCATATTTCGTATTGCGTATCATCTTGGGCCAACACATATTTCACGCACATCGAACGTTTGCAGCGACCTCAGAATCAAGCAGTTAGATTAATGACTTTCAGCCCATTTTACTTCTCCTGCAGCTCGTTGTTTCCTCAGCTTAACATACTCCCATTGAGACAATTATTTTGTCACAGAATGTCCATTGTCGCCTTTAGACTCATCACGCATGACATTTTTATTGCATGCATTGATCATCGTCACTTAACTAATGGTAACATCACCCGGTTTTCCCAGTGCAATAATCTTCTTTTGCCGGCCGTAAGGACAAACTACGGCAAGTTCTCAACCTTATTTACTGGCATAGCCATTTGGAATTCATTGCCTTTCGAATTGAAATCATCGCATAACATCCATATTTTCACTTCGCGCAGTAAGAAATATTACGTTCAGGAATTAATCAACTCATCCGATTTGTGTAATTAACTGTTAATAGCTCTCCATAGTTCTGTGCTATTTTACTACTTCAATTTGCCTTTGTATAATTGATAACACTGATAATGAAACGTGTTGCATTTGTCACGTAGAGTTCATTAATATTGTTTTTTGTCTTCACTTGCTTTTTCCTTGTTATTTTTCAATAGTGAGTATTACCATTATGTTGTGTATTGATCGTATTTTTATTGTTAATCAAGATTATTCATTATTACTCACATGTCCGTATACTATTGCTGTATTTTTTGTAATTACCCCATCCATGTAGCCATAGGAGGTCCCCTTGTCAGTTTCTCTGAAACTTTGGGACCTCCTGCTGTAATAACGCTAACCATGTAACTCAACTGAACTATTTAATAAACTTGACTTGACTTGAAAAAAAATTTACCTCATTCCACGTTAATATTGTTTAATTCGTTCACAAGTTTATCAAACTTATGCTATGGTCGACTAATGAACACAAGGGCTGTGGTACATATGAATAGAGGCTGATATTTTATAAGTAGTCTCCTTGACACAAAATGGTACTTACAGTGAAGAGGAGCCACGTAATTGCCTTTAAACAACAACAGCAGTAAGAACCCAGAACATTTTTTTTTTCATTCAGAGAAATTGAGAAGAAACCATTTTCTGAAAACCATTATTGATGTGCACTCCAAGGCAACACGGGTCATGGGGTGGCTACGGAAGCTCGCAAACCGACCGTAAAGGGGGTTTAAGAAGAGATGTGCTAATAATGATATATAAACTTTGTGTACGGCCTATCATGGAATTCGATGTATATTATTTTCTGGCAGAGCAGCTTATAAAATGAGACTCTAATACTGCTGGAAAGAGAAGCGTTGGGTTTGTGAGCTGGGTCTACCAAAATTTGTTGCAAATAACGTGTTGTATCTGGAAGCTTGCCTACCTTTCCTGCTAAATAGGTTTAAAATTCTTACTGTGCAAGCATTCTTAAATATATACAGTTCGCACCAAAGACTCTAATTTTACATTTGCATTCAAGAACAGGCTTAATTTTTCGAAACACAATGGTCGCGACTACACACCCCGCAAATAATATTTGCACAAGCGCTACTACAGCAACTGAATGTAAAAATTAAACATATTGGTCCAATACACAACCTAAAATCAATGCTTAGCATACAATTTGATGATATATTTCCTTATAACGCGAAATAATTGGCACATAGGTACTTAAATGACCAGTTAGCAGATTATCTAGCTCACCTAGAGATAAGCAATATCATTGCGACTGATGCATCTGTGTCAAAAGAAAAGGCTGGGGTTGGCATCTTCACTCCTTCTTTGGACTGGTCCTTTTCGATTCGACTCTTAGATTATACTCCTGTATTCATTGCAGAATTATTGACTATTGTTCTTGCCCTATGCAAATTGCCCTCAAGCGAATCATTAGCAGTTATCATTACAGATTTGTTATCAGTATGTAATGCACTTTCTGCGGCAGCAAATGCAGAGCTAATGAATACGTTTTGGCATTTAGTACCGAAAAATGTACAAAAACTGCATTTTCTACGGGTACCGGGCCACCGCGGATTATATTTGAATGAAATTAATGGCGGACTCTTTAGCAGCAGTATCCCTCAGTGGGCCCACCATCCCAGTTTTGCCAGATACGGCTTACGTGACAGCGCTAAGGTTTCGAAATGCTTGTCTGCACTGGGGAATAGGTAATTTGGATAAATTTAAAGATTTCGAGCATTTGAGGTATTGCTGGAATAAACAGTCGTGTGTATCTTGCCAGTCAGAGGTCACTTATACCAAATTGCGCTGTGCAGTTCCACAACTAAAACTATTATCTTAACAAATCTCGACCCAAGGTATCACCCCTGTGCATTTTTTGCAATGAAATTGAAACAATTGAACATTTCTTTTTTATTCTGTCATTGTTACACTTATCAGAGAAAAAGTTTTTTAGTAGCCCAATTACAAAAGCTAGGAATACAAGTAAATCTACCAGTACTTTTATCACTTGGCGGCACTTCATTTGGTTACTGCCTCAGGAATATGTTTGATTACATCAACGCAACTAAAAGATTACCGTGCTAGTGAACCCTAACCTTTTCAGATCTTTAGTTAATAATTCGTAGCGATGTCTGTCAGAAACGAGAGATGGTTTGACCGCTTGCCCAGCAAACATTTTCGTTTATTGGTAGTATTATCTCTAAACTAATTTTTCAGATTGGCTTTAATTTCATTTTAGTTTCAGTTAAGTATTCTGCCACCCAGTTCTTGGCTTATCCCCCTCTGTGGGTGAGCGCCATCCGAGGTCACAATCCTTGTATGCTTGCATTTTTACACCTTAGTTTGTTCCCTTCACTGTATTTTTTGAACATACTTGTTAAAGTGGCCTTTTATCCACAAATCAGAAATTTTCGAAAACCTGGTTTTGAGAAAGACAAGATCGCACCTTCTGCAAGAGACGTGCACCAGATCCTAATGCAAAGCTAAATGCAATCTATATGCCTAAAATCAGCAAAACATGTATCCTTGTAGTGCTCTTCCAGAAGGGTGGAGCAAAGTTTACCAAAGTACACTCCACAACTTCAAGAAATTTTATCGATATTCTAAGAGTATCCTTGTATCTTTTGATTAGTCTTCCCCAGGGATGGAAAGGGCTTATTTAAAAACAACTTGACAACATGTGAAACAACATGTGAAAAATTGAAGTGGGTTAAAATCACTTTCAAAAAGCACAAGCTGGTTACTAAATTCTAAAAAGAGCTCATTGTCTAGTTCCCTGGAAATTGGCACCTGACTGTGCACCATTGCACTTTCCATGAGCAGTTAACCAAAGCCACATGCTCGAAAAAAGCATTACCTAACAATGATAGGTTTGAAATTCTTAGAATGAGGTTTAACTATCATTGGTTGTGTATGTACCAAACCTCAATCTCTCAATCTCAGGATTTGAAACCTAGCATTGTTAGGCGGTGCTTTTTTTTTTTTTTGATAAGCTTGACTCTGAGAAATGCCTACTTCGCCTTGCCAAGATTATTTTTTCTTTTTATTCATAGAATAAATATTTCCTTTTACCCGCACAAATTGTCACGTTTTCCCTCCCCCTCCTTTTTTTGGATGGAAGGATAGGGTACGAAGCATATGCACGTCAGCGCCAAGAAAATCGGCAAGGTCTTGAAATCAGTTCGAGCCTTGAGGAAGAAAAGTCCACTTGTCAAAATGCTGGCTCGTGAACCCTCTTTGCAGATTTTTGCAATGCAATAAGTCCTATAATTGTATCATGGTTTTGGTGCTCCACACCCCCAGAATACAAAATGACATGAAGAAAACCACAAGGCAAGAAAAAGCGTGTGAAAGGCATTCTTTCCGATCAGCAGTTTTCTCCAGACCACTCTGCACCCTGTCATCAATATAAACATTAAAGCCATGACTCAGCTAATTGGGACCTTTAATCCAAATGAGAAAAGGGTTGTACAAATACACTTGCATAAAGCAGCATTTTCCCGCGTATGTCTCGCTAATTCGTTCAGGCACTGCACAGCAGTCGTACAAGCAAATGCATGCACACTTCGAAGAGCTCACACTTAGTGCTGTGCTTGGAAATGCTGGTGTGCACAGTAGGATGGAGATGTAAACATAGCCTATGCAACTTATATGCGTGGGCAATAACAATAGGTGCTTGCAACCCCCTGCATTAAAAGTGGGCGCACCGCAGCCCAATAGCTTATTCCCCCCCCCCCCCTCCTCCTTACCTCCTTTGGTCCCAGTCGCAAAATAAACGATAAACTCACTTGCACAAACTGTATGGTCTGTTTCCAGCGAAAAATTTCAGTTCACGTATTTTACTGCAGTTGCAACACTGTATATACAAGAACTGCAGCTAAATACTTTCCCAACCTGGTACCTAACACCATTGTGCATGCAGCTGACATTTGTGTAGCTCCATTCTTTCAAACAATATGTATGAGTTTCTGTGTGCTGCTCCCAAAATAAGAGAAGTTCTAAGATTCAATTTCCTTCTTCATTTTTAACTTTAACACTCCCTGGCCTCTCTCGAGCATTTCACCTGATGCCAAAAGAGGTTTTCCACCGGGTGTTCAGGAGTGCAAAACAAAAAGTACGTCTGACCTCTTAATTTTTCACTGGCCAACTGCGCTGTATTCAGAAACTCAAAGCGACCTTTGAGCTCCTCAGAAAGCCATTGCAGTTTGTGCAGTGAGTCACCTGAACAATTGGCAGTTTCTAAGAGCTTCTGCTGACAGGAGTCAATGATGCACATAAATCAAGCAAAAATTGTAAAAGTATCAGAACACAATGCAAAGAACACAACGTGCCCACAAAAATATAAAAAGTTGATAAAGGACGTACAGCCTCCCCTCACCATGGGGTTATAAATCAGTGTACAAAGTCGTAATTAGCATATAGTATACAAAAGCAGACTTGAAAACGAGACTGTAATGGTTTCACCCAGTCTCTACCAGACATGAAAAGCCGCACCTGTTCATGCCTACTACCTGGACCAAGAGAAGTGAAAGGCATACACAGCCACTCGAAGTTTTTCATGATTTACTGCTTTCAATGCAATCGATTCTGTCCAGAATAAAAGAGCACAAGGCTCCAAAAGGTGCTTCGCAATACGATTAAAACAGCAAACACTGTTATTGTCAAAGCAAAAGAGTTGAAAATCAAAGTGCACATACAAAGCTACGACGAATACAACACGAGGTATGTACAATGGCAAGCTAGCACGTAAGTACGTGCAAAAGCAAGTTGGGTTGAGTTTCGCAAGCCAAGAACTCCACACAGTTAAATAAATCCACAGAATATAATAAAACGAAACCAGTACAAATGATACTACGACACCTGCAATCAAAATGAACACACAAAAAATTCTATACAAATAAACATGGCTACAACAGAAAATCGGATATAATAAATGTAATTTCATGCTGCACAAAAAATTATTACAATGATGTCTGGCTGTGCCTTATTTGCAGCAGATAATGCAATTCAGCCTCTTCAGGGGTTGCATTCTCACTTGGCTATGAACGCTGCTTCAGGCAAATCACACGAAGTGACAAGCGTTGCTCCTTCTAAAGATCGCAAACCATAAAGGCACCGTTAAAACTAACAATCATGTGCCAATCTTTCGATTCATTGTTTGAAACATTTTTTTGTCGGGCAAGTGATTGGTAAAAGACTTTCACACGGCAAGTCTGCCATACAAAGTGTGCGGCAGATGCTGTGAGAGGTTAGTTTAATACTCGGGTCTTTGAGCAACCACCCACACGGCTACTGCAACTCTGCAAGAAAAAAAGTACAGAGAAATGCTAGCACATTGAAATGCACTGCACACTGCGCTGCCATGCTTTCATAATATTCACTATGCCCCATTTTTACATCCACATTCTGCAGTAGTTTGGAACATTTTTTGTCGGGCAAGTGATTGGTAAAAGACTTTCACATGGCAAGTCTGCCATACAAAGTGTGCGGCAGATGCTGTGAGGGGTTAGTTCCATACTCGTGTCTTTGAGCGACCACCCACATGGCTACTGCAACTCTGCAAGAAAAAAAGTACAGGGAAATGCTAGCACATTGAAATGCACTGCGCACTGCGCTGCCATGCTTTCATAATATTCACCATGCCCCATTTTTAAATTCACATTCTGCAGTAGTTGCACAAGAAGTAACGGGCAAACCGCAGAATGTCAAACAAGCTTTAAGGTAATTTAGATATCTTTCCAAAACATCTGTCATAAAATGTGACGGAATTTTGGAAAGCTTTGTCTTTCACTTCCCAAGCTGATCGAGATACAATGAACGGTGAATATCAACACTAAGTCATCTTGATTTTTCTGAGATACACAACTTCAATCAACTATCAACTGCAATACATTACAGGTGTAACGATGAATGGAGTGGGTCATGCAAAGCTCGGCAAACACATTGTCAGTGCTAAGCACGAGACACTCGGCCCGGACGTCGTCGCTGATTTCGCTGGCTATGCCTACGCTCCTACCTGGTCTCGAATAACAGTTCTGACTGTCTCAGTTCTTTATTATAATTGGTAGAGTTTGCTGGGTCTCTTTGCAATCCTGGAGTTGCGAAGCCGGACTCGACCTGCCGTCATGACCACTGCATCTGCCACAGGCCCTCCACCTATGCCTCCGGTGCGGTCCGTCAGTGGGATCCTCCCATATTCAGCAGCACTGACGATCACGACGTCGACGACTGGCTGGCTACTTACGAACTCGTGAGTGTCTTGAACAAATGGGATGAAGCCACGAGACTGACCACTGTCGGCATTTACCTCAGTGGCATTGCCCCCTTGTGGCTTCGGAACCATGAGACCGACGTTCCCACCTGGAGAGCATTCAAGGCAAAGTTCAGCGAAGTGTTCGGTCGTCCTGCTGTCCGCAAACTTCGTGCGGAGCAGTGCCTTCAGTCGAGATCTCAACTGCCTGGTGAGAATTTCACAAGCTACATAGAAGACGTCATTGACTTGTGCAAACGCGTTGATGCGAACATGACAGAGGTGGACCGCATCGAGCATATTTTTAAGGGTATCGACGAGGACGCCTTACAGATGCTCATTTCAAAAAGCCCTGCTACTGTTGCCTGAGTTACCGAGCTCTGCCAAAGCTATGATGAGCTCCGCCGGCAACGTCTCGTCACCCGCCGTGCTGTCCCACATCAGGAATCGATGTCCGGCTTAACTCCCTCACGAGACCCCGTCCTCCTCTCACGGATCAAAGATTTTGTGCGCAAAGAAGTGGCCCGCCAACTCTCGCTCATCTCCAGCCTACCGGAGCGCAGTGCGCCGCTTAGCCCTACACTACGAACTATTATATAAGATCAAGTCTCTGAGGTCCTTCCTCCGCAGCTGGTGCCACCAGCAAATGCACCATTGATGTACACCGAAGCAGCAGCACGACCAAGACCGCAGACATTCCAAGCGTCGCCTCCACTGCCTGCTCCTGCTTACGCCGCCCAGCCGCCACGACCTCCAGTCCGCCGAGTCTCTAATCCATGGCGCACTGCCGACAACCGACCGATCTGCTTTTCGTGTGGTCTACCTGGACACGTCGCACGTCTGTGCCACTGCGGCCCACTACACTCACGTGAAAACCTACGACCATATGAGAACGATTACACGTACACTCCCTACACTCCAGACCCCGAATTGTACGCTCCTCGACCAAGCCACCAACCAGCTCCTGATCGCCGATCTCCTTCTCCACGTCGACGCTTGCCCTCCCTGATGCGCCGACGCTCCCCTACAATCAACGCGGAAAACTAAATGACGCAGTTCCCGAGGCAAGAACTGCGTCCTCGTCGCAAAGCACTAGCACTCTTCGTTCGCCGCCGAATGTAATTAATGCTGTTCTTGAAGGTGTACCCGTACTTGCCCTTATTGATACTGGTGCCGCAATTTCTGTCATCGCTGAAAAAGTTTGCCGTTCAATTCGAAAAGTGACAACGCCTTACTTGGGTTCATGTCTTCATGCTGCCACTGCACAGCCTGTGCAGCCTGTGGCCGCGTGTACTGCCAGACTTGTAATTCAAGGAGTGCCCGACACAGTGCAGTTCGTAGTACTCCCGCACTGTTCTCATGACATAATTTTAGGTTGGGATTTTTCTCCTATCACCAAGCCGTCATTGATTGTGCCCGTGCCGAAGTTGTCTTTTGTCCCCTTGGTGATGCACTACCAGCGCACGATCGCCCTTCCTGCGTGAAGTTGGTCATTAGTGACGACACCCAGATCCCTCCACGCGCTACTGTCTTCGCACCTGTGTCAGTGTTCCGCCGTCGTCGACACTACCGCATTCTTCACGCCTTCCGCTGCTTTCGTTCATCACCAGTTATCACCGCTCCCAACCGCTCTCCTATCTCTTCAAGGTGGTGCGACCGATGTGCCTGTGGAGAATCCGTTCCCATTCACGATTACGCTGCTTCGAGGCGAATGTATCGGTTCGATAGAATCATTCGAAACCATCGCTACACTTGACGTTCCCGATGGATCATCGGAAGTCAGCGCCCTCTCCTGTAGTTCCGTGAATGACCCTTCCACTACCGACATTTTGAACTGCGTCATTGACGAAGGCCTAAACACACAACAGAGGTGTGAGCTTTTCAGCCTCCTTGACAAGTTTCAGCCATCTTTTGACAGTCACAGTGCTACTTTAGGTCGAACATCTACTGTATGCCACCAGATCGACACAGGTAATCACCCACCACTACGGCAGCGACCATACCGTGTTTCGCCGACTGAACGCTGTGTCATGGATGAACAAGTAGGTGACATGCTAAAGCGAGGCGTTGTTCAACTATCAAATAGTCCTTGGGCGTCGCCGGTTGTTTTAGTTAAAAAGAAGGATGGCAAGATACGCTTTTGCGTAGATTATCGTCGCCTAAACAAAATAACACGAAAGGATGTTTATCCTTTGCCTTGAATCAATGACGCCCTCAACTCTTTACAAGGCGCAGAGTTCTCTTGCTCCTTTGATCTATGCTCTGGGTACTGGCAAGTGCCCATCAATTCGGATGATAAGCCAAAAACTGCCTTTGTTACACCAGACGGCTTATACAAATTTAATGTGATGCCATTCGACTTATGCGCCGGCAACATATGAGCGCATGATGGGCACTATCCTATGAGGCCGCCTCAAATGGAACACGTGTTTGTGCTACTTGGACGATGTAGTGGTATTCTCGCCCGATTTTCCCACACACCTTCGGCTCTTGGAACAGATTCTACGCTGCCTCTCTGCAGCAGGCCTCCAACTCAACTTGAAGAAGTGTCACTTTGGAGCATGCAAGATGACCATTCTCGGACACGTCGTGTCGAAGGATGGCGTTCTTCCTGACCCTGCTAAGCTACGTGCTGTTTGCGAGTTCCCGAGGCCCGCTTCTCTCAAGCAGCTGCGTAGTTTTATTGGGCTTTGCTCATACTTCTGCCGTTTCGTCCGGGATTTCGCCTCAATCATGGCACCTCTGACAGACCTACTTCAGGGAGACCGCAATCTATCTGCGTGGTCTCCAGCCTGCGACAGTGCCTTTGCGAAGCTCCGCGAACTGCTTACAACACCACCTATACTGCGTCATTTCGATTCAAGCACTCCCACAGAAATCAACACAGATGCTAGTGGTGTCAGTCTTGGCACTGTACTCGCCCAACGAAAGCCTGGATACCAAGTATATGTTGTTGCATATGCGAGCCGCACTATTACAAGAACAGAAGAAAATTATTCGGTAACTGAGAAAGAATGCCTAGTGATTATCTGGGCCATTACAAAATTTCGGCCTTATCTATACGGCCGCCTTTTCGATGTTGTTACCGACCACCACGCGCTCTGCTGGTTATTCTCTCTCAAAGATCTCTCCGGACGCTTGGCACGATGAGCTTTACAGCTCCAAGAGTACGACATCCGTGTCATTTATCACTTAGGCCAGAAGCACGCCGATGCCGACGCTCTTTCGCGTTCACCTGTTTCTACTGATATTGCTAGTCTCTCCATCCAAGACAACTTCCTTCCACTATCAGGACCCATCAACACGGCTGCGGAGCAGCACAAAGATTCGTGGATTGCGTCTCTGATGGATTACCTATCTGAAACACTCCCCCACCCGCCATCTCGAGCGCTACACCGACAAGCCTCTCACTTCGCCATCCGTGATGGAATACTTTATCGCCGCAACTACCACCCTGACGGCCACAAATGGCTACTCGTCATACCCAGGCATCCCCGTGCCAGCATATGTGCTGCTTTCCATGCCGATCCGCAGTGTGCACACGCCGGTTTGTTTAAAGCCTACGCCAGGCTACGTTTTCGGTTTTATTGGCGCGGCATGTACACATTCGTTTAAAAGTACATTTGATCTTGCACAGAGTGCCAACGCCGCAAGCACGATCCTAGCCGTCCTACTGCACCAATGCAGCCATTACCGTGCCCAGTGCAACCATTCGACCAGGTTGGAATAGACCTTTATGGTCCTCTACCATATACATCAGCTGGGAATCGCTGGATTATTGTAGCGATCGACCATCTCATGAGATATGCAGAAACGGCCGCTCTACCAGCCGCGACGGCACGTGACGTTGCGTCTTTCCTGCTGCAACGTTTTGTTCTGCGTCACGGCGCTCCACGTGAACTTTTGAGCGACTGAGGCCGCGTCTTTATTGCGGATGTTATTCAAGAACTTCTTGCTGAAGGCCATGTGATTCACCGCTGTATTACTGCATATCGCCCACAAACAAATGGCTTGACTGAGCGTTTCAACCGTACTCTTGGCGACATGCTTTCTATGTATGTCGCCTCCAACCACACCAACTGGGATGTTATCCTTCCCTACGTAACGTACGCTTACAACACGGCACTTCAAGCGACGACAGGCTTTTCTCCCTTCTTTTTACTGATGGTCGAGAACCATCATTTCCAATGGACACCATTATCCCCTGCCGACCCGACTCATCCGAAGGCACACCAGTTTCCGAAGCCGCTCGGTATGCGGAAGAATGTCGGCAATTAGCTCGCACCCTTACAATATAAGAACAAGGGCTACAGAAATTTTGTCACGACGATGGACGGTCCAACTACCAGTTTTCGCCCAACTCTCTTGTTTGGCTGTGGGTGCCCCCCAGTGCTGCTCCTGGTACCTCTACAAAGTTTGTCAGCAGGTGCCATGGACCTTATCGCGTCATAGAACAAACTTCCGCTGTTAACTATTTTATCAAACGCCTTACGGCCACTGTGGACCTGCGTCGCCGAGGCCGCAAAATCGTACATGTGGATCGCCCCAAACCGTATCACGTACCGTGGTTGTCCTCACGACACCTTACTTGGCACCATCATCAGCGAGGGGGAAATATGTAATGATGAATGTAGTGGGTCATGCAAAGCTCGGCAAACAGATTGTCAGTGCTAAGCACGAGACGCTCGGCCCGGACGTTGTCGCTGATTTCGCTGGCTAGACCTACGCTCCTACCTGGTTTCGAATAACAGTTCTGACTGTCTCAGTTCTTTATTATACAGGATAGAATGTGTTATTACGGTACATGCATCTATGAGAATACTTATGGAGAATTTTCGAAGGCTAGCTGAACAGTGCAACTTGAATTGCATGCAACTGTTGTCATCTTGGGTAATAAAAGCAGAGAAATTAATTTGTAGTCTACCAGAGGCGACAGCTAAAAAAATACTAAAATAGTGTAGTAAAAAAGAAGGAAAAGTCTGAAACTGGCTGGTGAGTTTTTCACTGACGACTCGATCTAAGAGTCTATATGGCTTACACAATAAAAGCAATATACGTCACGAATACCAACCTATGCAAGTGAGCAAACAATCATCGCGGACTATATGAACAGTCCGCAAATGGTTGCGTGATTAAAATTTTTGTAGCGCTTTCAAAAAAGTATGGCAAATACGCGATCATGTAACAGTGCGGACACATTTTAGAAAATTTTCCATCATCGCACCGTTTCAAGAGAGTAAAGCATCTTCTGGTATCCTCAGTCCCACAATGCTGAACTGGTGCGCTTGTTGAATGTCTTCTTTTTCACGGGGAATATGTTGTCCAAACTGAGCAAGGGCATCGTGCCGAAAAACTCCAAGCCTGATATGCCACTTTTGCTCTGTTGTACGATGAGGGCATTCAGGGCAGCACCTACATAAAAACAAAACAAGGTTTGGCTCAAATGAGCACTCAGCACTGGAAAAAGCATTGATTCATTCATGAGAACAAGATGCAGCAGTTGTGAGAGCAGCTCGAGTTATTGAAACATTTGTGGGCAAGTTCACACAGCAATTGGTACTGAATGTTCAAGCAAAATGCCTGGCAATATCTAACGGAGTTGCCGTCAAGAGCACTTTCAGAGTTGATGGCCCCTTGTGTTGCCTGCTAGCTATCAATGTGTGCATCAGAAAGTATGGTAAGGATTTATTTTCGTGATAGTTCTATGGCAGTGCCACACTCAAAAAGCCACCTTCTCCTTCAGTCCAGTCTTTTCCTGCCCATTCCCTAACTTAATTAGGATTACAGTCGAACCCCTCAACAACAAAACTGACGGGGCGTGAAAACGATTTCGTTGAAGCGAGAATTTTGTTGTAGTGAAATCGAAAAAAAAAAAACAACAAATCGCTGATCTGAGCTACCAAACAAAGAAACGTTTATTCTCAAAATTCGAAAAACGTCCGTTCCTTCTTATTCTTTTCCAGCAGCGTCACAAGGCAATTCTCACCCATGCATAGCGGGGCCATAGTGAAAAGCACACTGAAACAATGCCTAAAGCTGCTTTCGTGAATGAACCAAACAGTTGCATTAACACGTTAACACCAGCAGCTGTCCGCCATGAAAAGTATCCGGGAACGCCGAGTTGAAGGCAGGGTATCGTGGAGCGGCGATTTTGCATTATTCTATGCCATCCTTATCATTCATCACTCGCGGCTAGCTGATTTTATTGAAAACCCAGACTAACAGCTGCTCTGATTAGATACCATACTGGCCAAAACGAAAATAGGGCAGTCTCATTGCCACCGCTATTGAGCAATGGCGGTGCCCATGCTTGCTGAATAGAGGTGGTATAGCAGCAGTTTCTCGTGATGCCAATGCATGTTTTAGACTTTGCTGACGCATTTTCAGGCTCTGAAAATGCATTGAAATGTTAAAGATTGGGTTTGCTGCATAGCAATAAGTATCTGAGCCTGGAATTGCATTGTAAAACTTGAAGCAAGGCGATCGAAGAAAAATTGTTCGTTGTGGCGACAATATTTATGCATTGACTCCTATGGACTGCCAACGGGGAATCGTGAATTTTTCGTTGAAGCGGGGTTCGTTGTAGCGAAGTTCGACTGTAGTTACTATAATACACAGAAATTAAGACATTATGACATCATTCTTGCTGCAATAGAATACCGAGTGCCTCAAAGTAACGTGTTGATTCGACACACTTACAGACAATTTTTTTTATAATTGGCACCTAAAAGGGTTATGATGCTCAAATCAGCCGGCCGCTGTAGAAGTGGGTGTATGACGCAGTAATTTTGGTATATGGCGTCATTTGTATGGAGAAGAGAGAGCATTTCCTAGCAGGTTTTGAGATCTAATTGTTCGTTTCATGGCACATGCTGCACTATAATGTTTGGCTCGTGTCTTCTCAGACCTTTCGGCTACAGATCGGCAGAGTTTTCTGATCATGCTACTCAAAATGGTGCAAGCAGGGGTGCAACAGCCAAAATACAACTAGGAGCAATTATTGGAGCAGCAAAATGTTACCTTCTGAGCACAAATTTGGAGCACGTTATGGTAAACCCAAACAGGAATTTTTATCATAAAATACCAAATTTAGAGCAGTATAAAAAAGAAGGCTCATACAGTATTTACTCGATTTTACCGCGCCCTGGATTGTAACGCGCACCCGGTTTCCATGACGAAAAAAAAAAGTAAGACATCGATTGCAACGCGCACCCATTCTTCTCGTTGGCCCACACGATCACACCACTCGGGAAAAAAACTCCTTTCGCGAGCGTCTTCCGTTTAAATAAGAGGTACGGGGGAAGCTTGTGCCTTTCTGATGTGCAACGGAGCATTGCCGTCACTCTTGTTTTACCGTGGCCCGATGTCAGCACGTGAACTTGCTTCGCCCCCTTCTTCTCGACGGTTGTGGTGCCAGGCATGTCGAAGTAAAGAGGTGTCTGATCGGCATCCCCGATTTGCCCAAGCAGGGAGCCGTTGTTGTGCCGCAAGTTTAGGACGAACCTCTGAAAACTGAAGCTTTTCTTCGTACTCCTCCGGCAACTTTTGGCATATGCCCGTTCGCCTTCAGAGGGAAAAGCCTTTCCTCTTCATAAAGTTAGTTAGCCAGCACCCGCTCGCTTTAAACTGGCTCCGCATTAGCCCTTTTTCTAAGGCTAACTGCATACTAGCCTGCACTTGGAGCACTTCTGTCGTCATGGGCCGCTGTGCCGCTCACTGCTCAATCACATATATGCCGAGCAGCTCTTCGATTTGTGGAAACCGACCCTGCGGTGTTCCGCTAAAATTTTCGTGTGAATATTTGCTGTCGACAATATTCTTCTTTTGTTTCCGCCAGCCCCGCAGGCACGTTTCTGGAACTCCGAACGACCGCGATGCAGCCCGATTTACGTCCGTTTCGGGACACGCGATGACTTTTCATTTAAAAGCGGCATCGTGATGCACTCGTCAAGTTTTTGGAGTCGGCCCTTCCATGCCGTCGATGCTAATGCACACCAAGATGACGAACTCCTCAGCACACGTACGAAGTGCCGCACATGGGAAACACATAGGCAGAAATGGCCAACGCGCCATGCCGACGCAAGTAGGGGGCGGCCATTTTGGAATGCCGATGGCAATAAAATGACCATATTCATTTTTTTTCGTATTCGATTCTAATGCGCATGTGATTTATGAACTCGCTTAACCGGAAAAAAGGTGCACGCTAGATTCAAGTAATTACGGCATTTAGAATTAAAAAAAAACAAATAAATCATTCAACATCACCTAAATCGTGCAGTGTGAAGATGAGCACTGCTATTTCAATAAAAGTAGTATTTCGAACCACCCCACTGAGCAAACAATGATACCGTATTAGCATTTGCTGCACCTGTCAAATATTTTGGCAGAGTCTGAATTTGAATATGAATCTACCAAGCTCGTGACTTTGACATTCGTGAGATTTGTAAGATCGAGTAGGAGTGGCAATAAAGGGAAAAAAAAAAGGCCAAAAATTTAGTTTTTCTTTTAGGGAAGCAGAAATGTCATACATTGCTCCAAATGATTGCCAGTAACTTAATTAGACATCAGCGATTATACTGGTACTCAGGATTATGGTGCAAATAAACGCACGAGTAATTAAACAAAATGTGCAGTTTCCCGCAACTGGTGCTAATAGCCCCTTCCAAATCTCGCTATGCTTTTTTGCAGGGCACCAGTGTACTGCGGCGAAGGTGGCTTAAGAAGCATTCTCTGCACGGGTTAGAACCAAGGCCACGAAATTTTTTAACTACCCCCCCCCCCCCCCAACACACACTTCCCACCCTTTTTTTTGTTCACCATGGGGTTAGGTGCTGCTTCGGCTCGCTTGCAAGGCAGGTTCGACCAGATGATGTAACAACAGTTTGCGCTCGTTTGTCCGGCATAAGTACTAGATATATATCACCAAGACCGTGGCCGGGACGACACAACTTGAAGACAAATAAAAAACATTATGTGCCACTGCTAAGGCAATCGATGTGGTCGCTGCCAATGCCGGCGTTCGTAGCACGCCAAGCTTGTTCGCATGAGGAAAACGTGGCATGTGCTTCCAGATTCAGTTCCTTACAAGCCATAGCAGCGCTTTCAGGCTATGAAAATAAATTTCCTGCGAAGAGTTAGTGGTTACAGCAACGCATTTTTATTGTCCCACCGAGAGGTATCAGCTGCGGTCAGCAAGCCTATGGGTGGGTGCGCAGCGTTGTTACTTTATCTGGTCGACCACGTCTCGCAAGCGTGGGGCGGGTGCCTAGAATATTGCCACGTTCCATTTCCCAAGCTTTTGTTATCGTCCCAAAACACCACACGATTCTCAGCGCAAACCGCGCCTGCAGTTTTCGAGAGGGTTCCGGACTGTAGTAGATCATTTCGATAAGATCACGCCCACTGTGCGAATGGTACAGATTGTTCTGGAACGTACGCCGCCGCCAGCGGTAGCGCTAGAACATTCAACGGCAAGAGTATAAATGCCGACGCGCTTCGCCGCTTGTCAGTTGTTGATCGAAGGCCGACGCTCCGTTCGCCGCTATCAGTCTGAGACTGCTATCTGTGCGAGACTGCTGCTGTAATTAGACTTTCTGTTTACCGGGCACAGGTTCGCCCAAATAAACAGTTAAATCCCGACACGAAGTCTCCTGTCTTCGGCCACGTCACGACCCCGTGACATCTCGTGGAGGTGCTGCTTCGTTCATGTACCGGACGCCCCCGTCAAGCCGTGAAACCAGCCCACGTCGCGGAGAAGACAACGACGCCAAACCGGAGCAGTGAACAAGCCGCCGACAGCAAGGGCTACCACCGGAGTACGGGCTTCTACACGACAAGGCGCGGAAGACCAAGGCCATGACCGCGACTGCAGCGACAATGACAACCGCAGCGTCCCAGCCCACGATGGTCATGCATCAACCCAGGGAACCACCAATTTTCCATGGGTCATCGTTCGAAGACCCGGAGTCCTGGCTAGAAACATACGACCGTGTGGCCGCCCTCAACCACTGGGACCATGACGAAAAGCTGCGTCGTGTGTTCTTCTATTTGGAAGACACCTCAAGGACCTGGTTCGAAAATCGGGAGTCCACGCTCCGAACGTGGGATGTTTTCTGTGGCGCATTCCTGCAAACGTTCGCGAGCGTCGCTCGCAAAGAGAAAACCGCTGCTTTATTAGAGACCCGGGTTCAGCTACCAAATGAAAAGGTTGGAATTTTTACAGAGGAGATGACCCGCCTATTTCGTCACGCTGACCCAGACATGCCTGAAGAGAAGAAAGTTCGTTTCCTCATGCGAGGGGTCAAACAAGACATCTTCGCGGGACTAATGAGGAATCCACCGAACACTGTCCAAAAATTTGTATCCGAGGCGACCACCATCGAAAAAACCCTGGACATGCGCACCAGACAGTA